GCCTTAGGGCCTATTTCAGGCTGAATAGCCGCTATGCACGAAATCAATTTGAATATAGAACCTTATTCAGTCATATAAGTTTATTGAAGACTTATATGAAGGAGTCCAGCATGATAAAAAAAAAAACATCAAATTGAATGAACTGAGATAACCTCTACAAATATCAAGTCACACCGGGACTCTTATTAACACGCCTCACGATAGTAACTATTCAAAGAGAAACATAGATATTTGCATCCCGCTCTTACATAGTAAGTGTAAGTGAGAGGCAACATTAATTATTATGTTTTCGGCTTACACACGTAATAATTTGACGAGATACTCGACTAGTTTCAAGCCATGCTAGAGGCCCATATTCATGAGCAGCATTCCGCGACACGCGACGCGGCGACTGTCGCGCTGCTACTCAAGAAGCGGCAGTATCTCGTCAAATTATTACGTGAGTAAGCCGAAAACATAATAATTAATTTAGAATGTCTCACGAAAGTTATAATAAAAATAATTCGTCGTACATAGAGTCAGTTGATTCACTTGAAAAAGTCGTTATTTTCAATTAGGGCTGATTATTCAATGGTTAGATAAAAGTTATCTGGGGAATAATTATGATACTGTCGCGTCAGAATGTTTGTATAAGACAGTGACAGCAACAATTTTATTCCTCAGTTATCATTTATCTGGCTATTGTAAAATCAGCTCTAAAAAGTAAGAAGTTAATCGGGAGGCAACATTTTATTGGAAAAAATGCATTTATATTTACATTCTGAATATGCAAAAGAAAATGGTATTTAACTCCCACTTTTCATTAGTTATTTATGATTCTATGTAATAAGGTAGGCACACCGCCTACCATTATAAAACAAATTTCAAATTCAATCATATATGTAAACATATTAATAAGGAAATAAGAAAAGAAAAATATGTTTCAAAACCTTTTATACTCTGTTATAATGTAACATTATATCATTTTTGATAAAAGGCGTAGGCAAAGGTGTCCATAAAAAATAAATGTAATAACATCCAATTTTCACTAATAACCCAAAAAACTTATCATAACTACACACTCCATGTCCTTAATTAAAAATTAAAATACATACAAATATAAAAAAAAACTCCCAATAAATTAACAACTGGCAACACAGCAATGTATTACCAGCGAAAAAATAAAATTTCTACCAATTAAGCAGAAAAACTACCAAATTTGGTAGTTTAATCAGTCACCCTTTTAAAGCAAATATCATGTTTTTTTGTTAATAATTAAATTAATTATACTGACTAAATTAATATGGGTATATGGAAAAATGTCTTTTAAATTTAATCTAGGATATAAGCAGTCTATAATGATATCACTTAAATCAAAGATATGGCAACACTAATTAATAAAATGGCAAGGTGATAGTATAGTCGTCAAACTCGATTATTTTGAAAAAGTTTTGGTTTTGGGTAAAACGGGTTAAGCAGAATAACTGATAAATATCATGTGTTAAAAATGATAGCTGAATTAAAAATGTCCGACTTTTACCAATTTTAACTTCGCCTAGTTTTCTTTTATAATGTTGACTTGCAAAAGTACCGTTTTATAGTCTACTAGCCCGTAGTTTTGCCCGCGACTCCGTTCGTGTGTAATAGTGACTTCCTGCAGAGTTTTAGTATAAAAACTATCCTATGTCCTATCTCGAGTTCCAAACTATGTCTGTACCAAATTTCACAGAAATAGGTTCAGTACTTTAGGCGTGAAGAAAGATAGACAGAGTTACTTTCGCATTTATAATATTAGTTTGGAATTATAAGTATCATTGTGTTTTCTTGTTAAAAATACGTATAAGGAGCATCCTCATACCAAACACCAGAATGAGTAATAATTATTAAAAAAAATATCTTTATCAAAATAACCGAGTTACGACTTAAAGTAGTACGGTGCTTGTCTCAAAAAACAATTTAAAATCATTTCACGCAATAACGAACCTTATCTCGTGTGTACAGGAGAAATATTTGCAAAACGAAGAACAAATAATCGTGATAAAAAGTTATAAACTTTAAAACACAGGAATCGTTGAAATTACGAAAATGAAAATGTTAAAAAAATGTTTTCCGCGAGAGATTTTTAAAATACAACATCGTAAACACGCAAGTGTTTTAAGAAATCCAACCGACACATCGCTCAACAAATCGTCCGACTATTCTGTCACCTCAAAATCGAGTAAATAAAACATAAAATATTCGAAAATAATATTCAAACAATGAAAGTTATACAGAAAATAGAAATTCAAACTTCATTTTCGTAGCATTAAGGTTTAAATTCATTCTTACTTGGTTACAAAGTTCGAAATCTATTTTCCATTTAAGCAATCATTGAATAATTAAAAAAAGGATTAAAAATAAAAGATTACAACCTCTTTATACCGTCCTCGTCGATATGTTCAGCCTTATTAATACTAAATACGATATTTTACCATAACGATAATAATTGAAAAATACTAAATTTAAAGCTAACAATAATTTTACATTAGGGGGAAAATCTACCATTTTTCTTGTATTTTTTCATATGGCAACACCATGTTGTATAGTCATTCCATTTTTGAAATAAAAACGAGATTCATCGTAGGTCGACGGAAAAATTAACATATTTTAATTATAATAAATTCAATGTTGACTATACAACATCAGTGAACTACACATGTGACGTTTTTTAGTTTAAAAAACGATTTTCGACTTTTTATACTAAATCATTTATCGAAACTCAACTTTGTACAGGTACTTCTGAAACTTCAAAATACAATAATAGTTTGTCAGTCAGTTCGTCAGTGAATTTTGAAAACTTTTTGACAATACATACTTCATAGCAAACTAATAAATGTCACATGTGTAGTTTAGCACTTTTTTTATCTATGGCAAGGAGTGACGTGGATGTCAAAATGACACTTTTGTAATTAAAAGGCTTTTGACATTGGTAGAGGTTGAAAACTTCTTAAAAATATCATCAAGATAATGATCATCATCAGCCTATAAGTGCCCACTGATGAGCAAAGGCCTCTTCTCACACTGAGAAGGATCATGAGCTGTATAACCCTCACCCACTTGGAGACAAGTGTGATGATTAATACTCATGCCTTCTCCTTGTGAAAAGAGGATGTTGTCCAGCATTGAGGCAGAAATGAATACAATCAACCTCTACCAAGTCGCAAGTCTCGATCCAATATCGATTATGGCACATCACTAACAATCGATTACAAAATCGATTCCCATCCACGCACTAAGCTTATATACAATCTATACAGGAGATACATCCAGACAAATGTTTTTATTTATATTTATATAAATACAATTGTGTCTTTCCATTGCTATTAGTTCGTTTTATTGCTGTTCTTTTTATCGATATCGATTATCGATATTTAGTTGCAACCCTAGCTCGAAATCTTTCGTGTGAAAAATGTTCTTGCTCGTTGAATATTATGATTATGTAACTTTGTTATTGCGAAATTCTAGATAGAGAACCACCTCTCCATATGCGCAAATAAAAATGAAAATTATATAAAGGTAGGGTAATATATATTTTTTTCGTCATTACCCTGCATTTGGCGATTTTGCGACCTACGATGGAGCACGACTACCCATAAGCAGCCTACTCACTTGGGCCTTGGAAGACACCCAGGTATACCTTTCGGGGAACGTAGACTGCCGCTTAGAATTCCACTCCTTACCGGTTCTGATGATAAAACTGAAGGCGAACCGCTTCGCTCTTTTTTATATTTATCTGAATAAATATTAGTGTTACACTGTTCTCACATAATACGGTAGTTTCCAACTAGTCAAATTCAATACTTTTATCCAAACGTCAAAAACGATACTTTTCTATGAAATTTGTATGAAAATCTGAGCTATGACGTCATAACATTTTTGCGTCAAATAGGTTACTTATTTAATAATTAGCTAAAAAAAATCTAAAACTTGGTGTATCGATCGATCGATGAATAAAAGTATAGTCATTTTTAACCGACTTCAAAAAAGGAGGAGGTTCTCAATTCGACGAGTATTTTTTTTTTTTTTTTTTTTTTATGTATGTACACCGATTACTCGAAGATGCCTGGACCGATTTGCAAAATTCTTTTTTCAATATTTTATTGTATTCAAACATCGTATTAATTTATTTTTGACCTAGGAAACTACCCAATTGAGCCAACTGTTTGTAAAAGGAATCTGTATGTGAAACTGATTTTAAAAAGAGTAACCATGGAGTTTCTTGCTCGTTCTTCTCCATCGGAATCTACACTTTGGAACGAGCAAATGGCTTCACTAAGAGGACTAACCGACACACTGACACTATATCTTCAAAATTTTGTTTGACGTGAAGTGTCTGTAAGGGTCTAATTGGAATAATTATCAAGTCTTACAGCTCCCTTTAACAGTCACCTTAAAACTTAAAAGGCAATTTTCAAGGGTCTACTAGCGCTTTGTCGTGGTAGCCCGAAGGTTAAGGAGCCCGCTTCTCATGCATCAGGGTGTGGGGACTAAACCTGGCAAGTACCAATGTGACTTTTTCCTAGTTATATGTACTTTCTATGATTATTTAGACACCACTGACATACGGTGAAGGTAAACATCGTGAGGAAACCTGGACTAATAATTTCTAATTATAATTTTGGAATCGCCAACCCGCATTGAGCAAGCGTGGTGATTAATGCTCAAACCTTCTAAGTGTGAGAAGAGGCAATTGCTCAGCAGTGGGCATTTGCTTATAGGCTGATGATGATGATGACTAGCGCTTTGAATATCGGGAAAAAGCTATGTTTCGGTACGGTAGCGATTCATTATCAAAACCAATGACCGACCCCAAGGTAGAGGAAAGATAGGGATCGCTATGAAAAAAAAATGGCCGTACCACTGTATAGTATAAAACAAAGTCGCTTTCTCTGTCCCTATATCCCTATGTATGCTTAAATCTTTAAAACTACGCGACGGATTTCGGTGCGGTTTTTGATTAGACAGAGTGATTTAAGAGGAAGGTTTATATGTATAACAACATCCATTAAATAGTGTAGAAATTTTAGTATCAGAATTGCGCGAAGTCGGGGCGGGTCTCTAGTTAAATATACTTTTAAATTCGTACCCTGTCGTCACTCCTACATCGTAGTACTTCTCGCAAATAACAAAGTTGCATATCACTTCTTTTTAAGTCGGTTATTAGTGACATAACAATAAAATCAGTCAATATTACTTTGGTTAATCATTATGGCAAGTTCATTCCTTTAAAAGTTAGGTTTTATATTAAAAACGCTTCATACTACTTTTTAGTGTAGTCGGTTAAGAGTATCGATATATTTTATTAACATTTTACCTAATATAAAGTAAGTAGGTAGAAATACTTAGATACCTAGTAATCTCATTTTTTGAGAATTTGGATTTATATGGGAATACCTAATGCCAAGTTCCATATTTTTTTATATTAGGCGATCGCATTAAAGAGTCACTCATAATAACTCAGTACTTCATAATATTTTCGAGCCTAAATAAGACCAACACTTTTAATATAAAACCCAACTTAAGTCGTAAATAATCGATATTAAATTTTATTCATGGCAACCCAATACAGGTGTTGCCGTCGTTAATAATATTTTGTAAAGACAACTTTACAATAACGTTGAAAATCCCTGATAATAACCGAGTCCATGGGACACACAATACCTGGAAATATGAAAAATAAATATTAAGTACATAGTTACTGAAAAATTCAGATAAGGTTTAAATCTATTCTAATATTATAAAGAGGTAAAATTTGTAAGTTTGTATGTAGGGGGTAATCTTTGGAACCGCTGGTCGGATTGCCGAAATTCTTTCACTGATATATAGCTATAATGTTCCTGAGTGCTATAGGCTAAAAAACATCACGCTACGATCATATGGAGTTAAGCAGCGGGTGAAACCGCGCGAGAGTAGCTAGTACATTTATATTTAAAGAAAAACGTTACTCCACACTTTGATTTTCACCTGTATCGTGGGTGCGTTTACAAACATACAATTTCACATACAAATCACAACCAGACACGAAACAATTTGTGGATTACACAAAGAGTTGTTCCGTACGGGGATCGCACTCGCAGCCTGTTTCGTTGCAGCCAGCGGTTGTACCCATCCACCGTGCAGACTAAAGAAAGAGAAAAATTGTAATTATTATTACCTAATGGCTGGCGGCGGCGGAGGCGGTGGCGGCGGCGGCGAGGGCGGCGCACAGCAGGGCCGAGGGGGCCGCCGGGGCCTCGCCCGCCCCGCGCAGGACTGCGCCCCCCACGTACGTCACCGACAGGAGGAGCCCGTGCGCCGTGCATCTGTTAGACATTCCTTATTCAATACATTTGAACCCAATGTCGTATATATCAAGTTTGTTATTTTCAAGAGAAGGTTTTTGTCTATACTAATATTATAATATTATAAAGAGGTAAAATTTGTAAGTTTATATGTAGGGGGTAATCTTTAGAACCGCTGGTCGGATTGCCAATATTCTTTCTCTGATAAATAGCTTCAATGTTCCTGAGTACTATAGGCTACAAAACATCACGCTACGATCAAATGGAGTCGAGCAGCGAGTGAAACCGCGGGAGAGTAGGTAGTGAAAGATAATTTTAGAAAAGTAGAGTATCGAAACCTGGGTATAGAGATACTTTAGTCTTTGTAACATTGGAAGCCGTTTTGCTTTCGAAAATGAACCTTAAAAACACTCACAATACAATCTATTTTACAACTCACCTCAAGTTATGTGGATAAGAATCCACAACGCTTACTCCTACGGAGTAAAATATTAGCGTTATGAAGAATCGATATACTGCTTCTACGACGTATAGCGCTGTCTCGCTCTGCGCTATGTAGACTAAGGGAGACAGCAATATGCAGGCACCACACATAGCCACTGAAAGGAAAATTAATTTTTTTATTTAATAAATAAGATTGTATTTGACAACTAATCTAATTCAATCGTCATCATGATCATCATCAGCCTTTAAGTGCCCACTGCTGAGCAAAGGCCTCTTCTCACACGGAGAAGGTTTGAGCATTAACCACCACGCTTACTCAATGCGGGTTGGCGATTTCAAACTTATAATTAGAAATTATAAGTCCAGGTTTCCTCGCGATGTTTACCTTCACCGTATGTCAGTGGTGTCTAAATAATCAAAGAAAGTACATATAACTCGGAAAAAGTCACATTGGTACTTGCCAGGTTTCAAACCACCACGATATTGTCATAAATAATATATAATTATGTCGAAGAAGCATTGTCATTGCTGACATTGTCATTAGTGGTTGACACAATAATCACAATAAACACTATTTTAATTTAGATTGTAACAATAGTTTTGTCTGTTTCACAATAACGCAAAAGAAAGTCGATAATTAGGACTGAGCAGCGGGTTCAGGGCACCAATCTTACAGTTATTATATAAACGATCCAACTCGACCGATTTACTAATGCTCTCTGTTCCCGCCAAAAACTGTTCACTTTTTATAAGTAAGATGGCGCCTCGACCCCGCTCGAGGCACGTGCTCTGCTCTGATTGGTCATTACGTAGGAAATCCAATTCTAGTTTTAAAATGATAATAAACAAGAATAAAAATTAAATTATGAATATGAAATGTCACTAATCAATTTAAATTAATTTAGGCATTTTAAAAAGTGAATATAATACAAACAAAAATTAATTTGCGTAACAATCAACTGCAATGCAAGTAACAATAAACTCCTAGCTTCCTCCGACATACATATTAAGTTATTGCCATTTGCATATGCTAATCACACAGACTTACCTAATCGTCACAAAGCTGATTTAAGTAGCTAATTTATGGTCGTTTCTTATTTACAGTAACAAACCTTTAACGCTTTGGTTACAAGTTAATTTTATATTTTTTTTAATTACACACACACACACACACACACACACACACACACACACACACACACACACACACACACCAACATCAATCGCCATCGTCTTTTGACAATCGGTGTTAACAGCGAATGCAAACTCGATCGAGTGATCGGTCGAGTCAGTAAGCAAGTGGATAGTAGAGTAGCTAATTTTTAACGATCGATAGTAGTAAGGAACAAGTTACTCGTTCCTTATCAAGTACGCAACTGTTTTGTCAACTTCTGTTCGAATTTATCGGTCGAGTAAAGAGTCGAGTCGCTTATTGGTTATATAAATATACTACTGTATTAGAATAATATACATTCACTTACCAACGGGTCTTAAATTCTGCGGCATGAAAGCGACGAAGGTGACTAGGAACATGGCGTGTGCCGCGTAGCTCTGCTCCGTGGTCATCCCCCCCAGCTTGGAGGTGAGGTCGGCGTGCCTGGCGCAGCCCCCCCGCATACCTCTCACTATCGTACTGTTGAACACACACCACTCGTCGAACTCCCTTCCTACCTCCATATCTGTGTCTATTATACTGTGGATTAAAACGAAATATTTTATTATAGAGATTAGAGAGACAGAGAAAGATAAGAGAGAGATTAGAGAGAGAGAAGAAAGACATATATATATATTTATAAAATAATAATAACAACAAAATAAATACAGTGTTTTTCGCCGTGTGAGTGAGGTTAACGGAGGCCCTATCCTTCCTATTCTTTACCAATCTTATAATCTCCAAAACCCTAATCCCCAAAAGATCGGTAACGCACTCATTATTCCTCAGTTGTTGTAGGTGTTTATTGGCGGCGCTAACTGCTTATCATCTGATACCACAGCATCACAAAAAACCGACATGAATCAACTAAAGCGTTGTGGTTCACCGAGTGAGAAAAAATACCGGATGCCAATTCGTTCCCTGCCCCGAATCTCCAAAAAATCGGCAATGCACTCGTAACTCGTCAATGTGATATGGGCGGCGCTGATTGCTTACCATCAGGTAATCCGTATGCTCGTTTGCCACCCTATCATATAATCCCTAAATATCCAAAAGCATATTCCCAAAAAAACTTCCAAAACACTTAAAAATCCTCTGAATGTCCATGGGCTCCGATTCTTATTGCTTACTATCAGGTAATCAGAACATTCGTTTACCATCCAAACAAATATTATAAATGCGAAAGTAACTCTGTCTTTTCTTCACGCCTAAACTACTGAACCTATTTGTGTGACATTTGGCACAGACATAGCTTGGAACTCGAGAAAGGACATAGTATAGTTTTTAAACCAAAAATCTGCAGGAAGTCAGTATTCGACGCGAACAAATGTGGGATAGCCATGCTTCGGCAAGAAAAGACCGGATTGATACCACGGCCTCACAGAAAACCGGCGTGGAACAACCACAGCGTTGTGTTTCGCCGTGTGAGTGAGGTTACCCAATCCTTCCCCTCCCCTGATCCCTCCCCAATCCCTTAATCTCCAAAACCCCTAAGAGGTCGGCAACTCCTCCGATGCGGGTGTCCATGGGCGGCGCTGATTGCTTACCATCAGGTAATCCGTCTGCTCGTTTGCCGGTCTATCAAATAAAACAAAAATAAAGTCGCAGGCTAAAGCTAGTAAAAACATACTTACGTGCTATTTATAAACGAGCACCCCTCGAAGGTAGTGAACGAGGTCTTGAGATTTGATAACGCAACGTTGTAAAAGGAACAGTTTCTGAACGCGACGTGAGATATCAACATATCTCTGATCGTGCATCTGTTGAATGTCACATTATAATAATCGACGTTTTCTAGAGTCGTGTTATAATGTACATCTGTTAGGGTTTCATTCCCTATACTCTGTTTTGAGGCCTCGTAGAGATCGCTTTCCATCTTCACGACCGTAGCTGGTATGTAGGAGGCTAGGTAGTACTGTGGACAAGGGAATCTAGTCAAAAATATAAATCAAATCGGATACAATATTCGACTAAACTAAACTAATCAAATTAAATACTTTTATTGGATTGGTGTGAAAAACAGAAATGCGACGTCATCCCACACATAAAGTTTGGGAGAGCCATCGCATCTTCAGTCTGATTGGGACCACGACCTGTGCAAACAGGTCGAAACGTTAAGCCTACAAATGTATTTAAATAATTATTTTCCGTAATAATGCCGTTTATTTTCGTTTTTGAGGAGGATACATTTTTAAATGACGTTTCTCACCTTCGGCGAGATTTTATCCCATCCATTTACAAAAAGGGAGTACAATACCATACAGTACGGCCGACGTGTCTTGGCGAGTCTGAAGTTAGCCGATTAGCTGCGCAGTACACAATTTTGTTCCTAAAACGTCCATTGCGCAGACAGACGGCTAACTTCAGACTCGCTAATTTATGTTATTAAGTACCTTTACCCAAAGAAATCGAGTCTAAACAAGTGATTTTTAACTTTCAAATTTAATAACAAAATCTAAATTACAGTACATCATCTAAATTATCTAATTACCCTAATATTTTGTAGTTAAATTTTCATAAAATCAAATTAAAATAACAATGTAAAATTATAAAACAAACCTGTATCGCCATAGTGAAAAGTAATGTCCCTCCGAGTGAGAGTGTGGTCCTCCTGTAGGTACTCGAGAAAAGTTGAAAGAATGACTGCCAGAACTGCGGAGGGAAATAAAACATAATATTATTTACAAAGTGATATGTAATTTTTTTTATGTTATAGGTCGGCTACCGAGCAGACGGATTACCTGATGGTAAGCAATCAGCGCCGCCCATGGACACCCGCAACGGAGGCGTTACGAGTGCGTTGCCGACCTTTTAGGGATTAGGGATTTGGAGATTTAGGGATTGAGGAGGGATTGGGGGCGGGGAAGGATTGGGCATCCGGTAACCTCACTCAGACGGCGAAACACAACGCTGTGGTTGTTTCATGCCGGTCTTCTGTGAGGCCGTGGTATCTTTCCGTTCGAGCCCCATGCTTCGGCACGAATGGATCGGCTCGATCAGAGTGATACCACGGCCTCACAGAAAGTATGATGAAGATGAGGTTACCGGAGACCCAATCTTTCCCCTAATCCCCATCCTTTATCGATATTTGAGATTTGAGTCCCCAACCACAAGGGATTGGTGGTGGATTTTCAGCATATCCATGGGGGAAGAAGGGAGGCTATAAAAAAAAATTGACGGCGAGAGGGAGTATCAGACTGTTACCGACAAAAAATTGCTTGTTTGTATATTCTGAGCACGAGACCTGCCAAGTACCAATGTGATTATTTCCGAGATATATTTACTTTCTATGATTATTTAGACACCACGGACATACAGTGCTCGAAAACATCGTGAGGAAACTTGGACTTATATTTAGGCAAGTGGTGATTAATGCTCGAACCCCGGCTGAACATCAGCCTTATAGGGCCCCGTCTGTGGTGGTCTATTGGCTCTTTGAGACGCGTGCGGAACGCTACACGCCGTACGTTCGGGTCTGGTTCTGGTCGGGCGGCGAGCTACCCTTACTCGCCGTCCGCAGACCCGCGCTTACGGTGACCGGAAATCGTCTCTCGATCCCTAAGACGCTCGAAGTGTCGCCTACTGCGGCGGCTGGGGCGTGAGGAGGAGGATAGCTTCCTCCTGCTTAACAGTATAAGACTTACCATTTTAACGCTATGTCGTACGTGATGCAGGGCGGGAGGGCGCCGCTTCCCCGGCAGGGCGAGTTCCCCGAGCCGGTACTCCGCGCTGCCCGCCGACACGCCCGCGCCCCCGCATACACGGAACTTGTTGCTGCTGTGGATGCTCTGAGGGGGGAAGGAAAATATCATCATCATCATCATCAACATCAGAAGAAGAAAAAATATTATACTGCTGATTTAGCCATCAGACAATCAGCCATAACTGAACTATACAATTACTTTAAAATGCATCAGTCAGTCAGTCAGTCAGTCAGTCAGTCAGTCAGTCAGTCAGTCAGTCAGTCAGTCAGTCAGTCAGTCAGTCAGTCAGTCAGTCAGTCAGTCAGTCAGTCAGTCAGTCAGTCAGTCAGTCAGTCAGTCAGTCAGTCAGTCAGTCAGTCAGTCAGTCAGTCAGTCAGTCAGTCAGTCAGTCAGTCAGTCAGTCAGTCAGTCAGTCAGTCAGTCAGTCAGTCAGTCAGTCAGTCAGTCAGTCAGTCAGTCAGTCAGTCAGTCAGTCAGTCAGTCAGTCAGTCAGTCAGTCAGTCAGTCAGTCAGTCAGTCAGTCAGTCAGTCAGTCAGTCAGTCAGTCAGTCAGTCAGTCAGTCAGTCAGTCAGTCAGTCAGTCAGTCAGTCAGTCAGTCAGTCAGTCAGTCAGTCAGTCAGTCAGTCAGTCAGTCAGTCAGTCAGTCAGTCACTGTGTCAGTCAGTCAGTCAGTCAGTCAGTCAGTCAGTCAGTCAGTCAGTCAGTCAGTCAGTCAGTCAGTCAGTCAGTCAGTCAGTCAGTCAGTCAGTCAGTCAGTCAGTCAGTCAGTCAGTCAGTCAGTCAGTCAGTCAGTCAGTCAGTCAGTCAGTCAGTCAGTCAGTCAGTCAGTCAGTCAGTCAGTCAGTCAGTCAGTCAGTCAGTCAGTCAGTCAGTCAGTCAGTCAGTCAGTCAGTCAGTCAGTCAGTCAGTCAGTCAGTCAGTCAGTCAGTCAGTCAGTCAGTCAGTCAGTCAGTCAGTCAGTCAGTCAGTCAGTCAGTCAGTCAGTCAGTCAGTCAGTCAGTCAGTCAGTCAGTCAGTCAGTCAGTCAGTCAGTCAGTCAGTCAGTCAGTCAGTCAGTCCGATCACGTTGTCCTCTATATGTATATTTAAGATATAATATTCCTTGGTTCATACATACTTGGTAGACCATCATGGCATCGACCTCCCTTCCTACGTCGAGCAAGTACCGAGGGGATTCCTGCGTCCAGATCAGGCTGACCAACGACGCCAGGATCGGAATCGTGCAGAGTAGGAGATATCTGCAAGGAAATACAATTTCAACTCTATCTCTATATGTTTTCAACTCTATTGCAAATGATAATAAGATTGAAAATCGATTACCGATTATTTCGTTTTTGTAATCAATAAAAATCGATGTTTGTTCAAACATGTATGTACTGACGTATGTCAAGGAAACATTTTTTTATACTCTACTCCAAACATACTCGTAAGATTGATAATCGATGATTGATTAATTCGTTTTTTAATCGATGCTAATAGATTCCAAATAAGCCAAGCAAATACATTCTCAACTCTATTACAAACATTATAAGATCTATAACCGATTAATTCGTTTTTGGACTCGATTATAATCGATTTCAAATATGTATGTAGTGTACTAGTCCAACGAAATACATTTTGATCTCTATTGCAAACACTATCGGCATTATTACAAAACAAGGTTTTTCTTTAGTCCAGGCCTAAACCATTGAATCAGCTTTTGTATTTCAAATTTAAGGTAGGTGAGAATAAGATTCAAAATACAAAACCTGACTCAATAATAAAGATAAATTCGTTTTTAAACTCCATATAAATCGATGTATGTATCGACCTACGCCAACGACATACATTTTCAACTATATTGCAAAAAACATAAAATGGAAATCGAATCTATAAAAGCTAAGGATCTTTTTATACGTTGAACATGAGTAGATAAATTATAAAGTGTCGATGGTATAATAATATCGATAAATTCATTTTAGTGCTCGATGATAATCGATTTCAAAAATATCTGTACTAACCGATGCCAAGCGCTAAAATGTTCTTTATTCTCAATAAGCGTGGAGGCTCCGTTTTGCGGGAGGACTGCAGCGGAGAGCGCGGCTGCGGCTGCGCCCCCCGCGCCAGCGGCCGCTGCTAGAGCCCCCAGGGCCGCGCCCCTTCGAGCCCGCCACCAAATCTCCCCGCAATACGTGTACGAGGTTGGAACTATGCCACCAGAGCCCAGCGACGAACAGAATCTGTAAGACATGAAATTTCATTTTTGCAATTCGTAGATGGCGCTGCTGTAGTTTAAGGTCCTGTAAGTGAACTGTAGAGGTAAACATTTGTAAACATTGTTAGGTATTAAATTCCTATTAAAAACTTAAAATCAAGCAGGTCATCTATCGACCAAAAATATGTTTGAATAATACTAATACAATTAATTACAGCAAAAAAAAATACTTTATAAAAAAGAAAAATAAACAAATAAGCTGAGTGTGGGAAAGCCATCCTTCAACTCGGACGGCGTGATACCACGGCCTCACAAGAAACTGGCGTGAAGTATTATTTGCTTTATTCGTCGCCGGTGAGGTTACCGGAGGCCTAATCCTTATCTCACCCCCATCTTCAATTCTCAAATCCCTAATAACCCACAAAAGGCTGGCCAAATGCGGTGCTGATTGTTTACCATCAGGTTTTTTTTATATTTGGCAAACGAAAATACAGATTACCTGATGGTAAGCAATCAGCGCCGCCCATGGACACCCGCAACAACGGAAGAGTTAAGAGTGCGTTGCCAACGTTTTGGGGATTTGGAGATTTTGGGATTGGGCCTCCGGTAACCTCACTTACACGGCGAAACACAACGTTGTTTCACACCGGTTTTCTGTGAGGCCGTTGTACGACTCGGGTCGAGCCGACCCATTCACACTTGAATACTCCGTCTGCTCGTTTGCCGACCTATTAGACATAAAAATACTGAATGAGAGCTTACCTGGCCATCATGAAAGTTCCATAGGTGGGCATGAACGCGGCTATGGCAGCAAAGACTGCGTTGACGGCTAGACAAGACACCAGACACCGCCTCCGACCCAGCCTCTCGGACAGAGCACCCCATCCTACCGCGCCTAGTGAACCTCCTACTAGGCTTATCATTACTGAAAAGAAATTATCATAAATTAGATTATTTTACGAAGATAAGGCCGCCAGGCGTTTTACTAGCGTTAAAATCAACGTCGCGTTTGCTCAGCGTTGCGTCGACGACGCGCTAACTCGACGATAACGCCGCGTCGTCGCGTGGCAAACATTAACGTTCGGAAAACGCTAAGTCAACGTCGCGTCTGCGCAACGTTAACGTCGCGTTTGCTGGCGACAAGTTAATGTACCTATGTGTTATTCATACACTTTGATAGTACCCGGTACTTAATAATTGAACTTTGTGAGTATATGGGGTGAAATTGAACAGATGCGACAGAACAACATACAATAATACGTGTTGTCAAGAAAATGAACATATAAAATGTAAAATTAATAAAAAAAATTTAGTCTCACGGTGAGGTGAATCATCGCTATGCGTTCATAACGATCAATGATATGCCTTAACGGCTTCGTTTAATAACATGCTGCACTGCGTTATGTCGGACGAGATTTCATGATACTTTTATTTTTCTTATTTATTTTGCATATGAATTATTTTTCTGGAATATTGATAATTTGTAAGTACTTAAATAAATATAAAAACCACCATTTTAAAACGATAATCACGTCATTTTATTTATGGTCTTAGAATGCAGAAAAAATAGCTTAAAATTACTATGTTACTGTAACTCAAGCTCCCATTTCATTTTGTCGCATTTATCAGAGATTTAAGCCTGTATGAGTAGGGTATATGTAATCGAAATAAAACAACTACTGTATACTGTTCTATAGTAATGAATATATTTCTTAAAAATCATAAGACCCTAACCAAATCGTGTGAAGCAAACGCTAGCTCGATCTATTTCGACGCCAACGCCATCTAGTTGCATTTTTGGAAGCTATCGACAAATTACAATGTTTGTTCTTATAAATAGGTTTTCAAGGTTTGGTTACAAACAGTATGCCATAGACAAGACATTTGGTAGAGCAGGACGACGTGATTGTACCTGTTGGGCAGGCGACGTTAACGTTGCGCAGACGCGACGTTGACTTCGCATCCTGCGAACCCAGTTTTAGGGGGAAGAGGGGGGGGGGGGGGGGGGGCGAATTTTCATATGACTCAGGGGAGTGTCAGACTCTTACAGACCTTCTTGCTCTAAGCCGAGGCCGCGGTACGTTATGGCGTTAGCCACGCAACCCTGGACAGATACGAGCTCTTAGAGTGGCTTGAAACTAACCGAGTTTCCTCGTCAACAAATACGTGAGTAAACCGTTAAAAATGAATTCATCCTGCTTGATTGCTGCATTGTTTACTTACGTCGAGTTAGCTACGTATAAGTCCCATTGTGACACGAAACTAGTTGAGCGTTCCTCGAAAACTTTACGCAAGAGATCAATATGTTGTAATTAACTTATCATTATTTTAGTAGTATAGTAGTGTACTTACTGAGCCAGTTCTTCTCATGCGGTAGTATACAGAGTTCGATTTCCGCGGAGGGTAGAATGAAGGGGATGGCAGATAGTTCTAGCGACGCTCCCGCTATAGCGAGGAACACTGCTAGAGTGACTCGCGCCTGTGCTAGCCCGGTACCCGCCTGTAAAATAATATAAACAAATACTTTATCACATGTCACAAATGCTTTTGCCCGCGACTCCGTTCGCGTGGTATAGTGACTTCCTGCAGATTTTAAGTTTAAAAACTATGCTATGTCCTTTCTTGAGTTCCAAACTATGTCTGTACCTCACACAAATAGGTTCAGTAGTTTAGACATGAAAAAAAGACAGAAAGGCAGACAGAGTTGCTTTCGCATTTATAATACTATATTGGAAGTTTGGATTTAAAAATGTATGAATCAACACTTGCTGTGGCGGTATCACATCATCAGCCTATAAGTGTCCACTGCTGAGCAAAGGCCTCTTCTCACATGGAGAAGTCTTGAGCATTAATCAATACTAAACTATAGTTTTATTCATCGATTGATCGATGAATAAAAGATTTGACGCCGGTGTCACTTTGATAAAGGAGGTATTCGGTGCTTGGGAGGAAGCACAGGATGCTGTTGGTGTCTTTTGCGACCTCTCAAAGGCGTTCGATTGCGTTGATCATGAAACACTCTTGCTGAAATTAGATCATTACGGGATTAGACATACTGCACTCCGTCTACTAAAGTCATATTTAGAGGATAGGCAGCTGAGAGTTCATGTAGGTGGTTCTACCTCACGGGGCTCTGAGATAAGAATTGGCGTACCGCAAGGTTCAATTTTGGGTCCGTTTCTCTTCTTAGTGTATGTTAATGACTTGCCATTTCTATTTAAAACCGAGCCAAGAATGGTGCTGTTTGCAGATGATACATCATTAATTTTTAGAATAGGTCGACGTGTTAATAATTTTGACGAAGTAAACAGATCCATTCATCAAGTTCATAATTGGTTTACAGTCAATAATTTAGCACTTAACGAGAAAAAAACAAAATGTATTAAATTTAACTTGCCCAACGTACACAGTAATGATTGTGACATAATTTTAAATGGGCAAAAGTTAGAATTTGTTAACGAGACTATGTTCCTAGGTATTACGCTAGACAATAAACTTCAATGGGGTTCCCACATAAAGACGCTTTCGGGAAGACTGAGCTCAGCTGTTTTTGCAGTTAGACAGATTAGACAGCTCACAGACGTGAACACAGCAAGGCTTGTTTATTTTAGCTATTTTCACAGCATTATGTCGTACGGAATTTTGCTGTGGGGTCGAGCTGCGGAAGTAGATTCAATATTTATTTTGCAAAAGCGGGCTATCCGAGCGATATATAACTTGCCCCCTCGTGAATCTCTAAGAGAACTATTTAAAACGATAAATATCCTAACGGTACCTTGTCAGTTTATATATGAAAACATTATGTACGTAAGGAAAAATTTGCAATTATTTGAAAAAAGAAGCGATAGACATAATTTTAATACAAGAGGCAAAGATAGGCTGGCTGTGCCACGATTCCGTCTGTCCAAAGTACAGAAATCCTATATGGGGTTCTGTGTAAATTGTTACAATAAAATTCCAAGAAGTGTATTAAATCTTAATGAACGAAAATTTAAAACTTATATTAAACGCGAATTATGTAGACAGGCATACTACAAAGTTTCAGATTATATTGAGGACAAGAATGCCTGGCATCATGTTGGTTCGGCTCCACTGGACAATACTCAAATATGTAGTCAGTAGTTATTGAAATTCTCAAAATTAATGAAACCTTGAATGAGTTTATATAGAAGCATTCTTTTGGATTGTGAGTACGCATATGTGAGCGCCATGTTCGGGACAACAAAGGATTAAAATTTTAATGATAGATTAGATAGACCATCATTTGTTCCTTTTTATTAACAACTTGTCTCTGCATTGTTCTCACATAGGGGTACAGTAATGTATAAAAAATGTATTATTGATGAATTGTAAAACAAATATTTTTTTTTTAAAAGAGTAACGATGGAGTTTCTTGCTCGTTCTTCTCCATTCGAAACTACAATTTGGAACGAGCACCTAGCTTCACTGACGAACAGACTGACAGACTACTATTCTATTTTGACGTTTCAAAAGTACCTATTTATGGTTTATTTGGAATAAATGATTTTGATTTGATTTATTTTAATGTTTTTATTATTAATATTTAGATATTTTTAGCTAATTTTTAAGTAAGCTATTTGACGCAAAAATGTTATGACGTCATAACTCAGTATTTCATACAAATTTCATATAAAAGTATCGTTTTTGACATTTTGACAAAAGTATTGAATTTGGCTAGTTGGAAACTACCGTATTACCAAATTCCAAGTACTGACCTGTCGCAAGGCATCCTCGTGAAACTGTTCGAGTACACTGGAGTCGTTGTAGTCTAAGAGCTCGCCGCTCTCGTTGACGTCGGTGGTGTGGTCGGGGGGGCTGGTGGCCATGTGGCTAGTGTTGCCTGGCTCTCCGCCACCACCTTCCGTGCCTGAAATCCAATCAATAACCTGATGTGTAAGGTTCATGAAGATGGAAACTACAGAACTACACTTTAATTTCTTTTGTAATGGAATAAGTCGGCAAACGAGCAGACGGATTATCTGATGGTAAGCAATAGGCGTTACGGCTACGGCACAATTGGGCCAGCTCGACCGGAGTGATACCACGGCCTCATAGAAAACCGGCGTGAAACGACACTTACGTTGTGTTTCGCCGTGTGAGTGAGCATAACGGAGGCTCCATTCTTCTCCCCACCCCCCATTCTTAATCGTCAAATCCTCAATCCTTAAATTCTTAATAACCCACAAGAGGCTGGCAACGCACTTGTAGTAACTCCTTTACTGCGCTGATTGCTTACCATCAGGTAATCCATCAGTGTTGAGTCATGCACTCAATGGCCTTCGCTGCGCGATGGAGGGGACAACGGACGGCGGCGTGCGCGCTGCCCCGCTATACGTCAGTCAGCTGTTGCACGCCTAGACGCGCGGTTGCGCTCGCGCTTTCGTCATTGTAACAGTCTAATAATTATTTCATATAAACCTTATTATACAGTCCACACTTAAATTATTTATCTCCACTGAACTATCAAACAGTCAGCTCGTTTGCCGGCCAATGACATTTATAAAAAAAAACATAAACGCAATTTTACAAGTACAAGCTGTAAGTACATTTATTCTTTCCTCATCAGGTTTGAGAAGGACTCACCGCTAAGTCTATCCTCAGTATAAGTCATGGTTCCGAAGCTGTGCTTCGACGAGCCTTCAGAATCCGACCGAGCGCGCACAAGGCACGCCTGTTCTTCCGACATCGTGCGCCGCGCGCGTCACCACCGCGCTACTCACAGCAAGAGACATCTGAAAACTTTCATGTGTTGGACAGGGACAAAGATAGTGGAAAAGTGTCTAAAAGTCTACCATATGGTCCCTATTCGCACGAGAAATTTGTTTATGAACACAAAGCTATATGACTGATTTTTCAATACCTAGTCAATTACATGTTATCCGAGGAATAAAATTGTTGCTATCACTGTCTTATACGAACATTCTGACGCGACAGCATCATAACTGGGTAGTTTCCTTAGTCAAAAATAAATTAATTTGACGTTTCAATACAATAAGATATCGAAAAATAACTACAATTTTATTCATCGATCGATCGATACACACAATTTTAGATACTTTTTAGCTAATATTTAAGAAATAAGTACGCTATTAGACGCAAAAATAATATGACGTCATAACTCAGTGTGTCATACAAATTTCATAGAAAAATATCGTTTTTTACCCGACTACGGCAGTTGGATAAAAGTATTGAATTTGACTAGTTGGAAACTACCGTATTATTCCCCAGGTAACTTTCATCTAACCATTGAAAAATCAGCCCTTAATGAACGTCTTTTAGTTGAATTCAAAACATGAGACATGTATTTAGAATTGTAGAGGGATGAAAAACTCCTTTCGGTACTACTAACGCCGTCTAGTGAGAGTTGGTTGAAATGTGGTTCGTATAAACACCTTATTATAGATTTAGAATAAGTAGTGCATAGTTATAACTAGATGTTATGCTAAATATTTTTTACAACAATTCGGTAGAATGTGTGAGACTCCATAAACCTAACACAAACACCTATATTTGTACTAAATTCTAACAAATATTTTTTTTCGTTTTTCTTTCTTTCTTTTTTTTGGCTGGACGGTCCGCCAAACGTATTTTTTCTTTTCTTGCGAAATCTTATATTGGGTTGAGGAAAAATACTTTTCACATTACAGTTATGTATGAACTTGTAATAAAACCTCTTTGGCTACACTGTTTATATCCGGCTGGTTTTAGTATCGTCGAAAGTTTAAATTTTAAGGAATCTAAATCCAAATTCAAATTGGGAAAATGTGTGATTTCATTTGTTTTTTTCGGTAGAACTGTCGAGATGAGTGAATTTAGTGAAGACATTGAATTCATATACGAAATGTAATTACAAAAAAAGGTACAAATGCAACGCATAACTATCGCTAAAAAAAACTACGATGTTTATGGACCTAGCCTATGAGAATAGCATAACTTTCGAGCACTAGCGAACAGATTATAATTCTACTAGTTTTTGCCTGCGACTGCGACTCCGTTCGCGTGGAATAGTGGCTTCCTGCAGATTTTTGGTATAATAATTATCCTATGTCCTTTCTCGAGTTCCAAACTATATCTGTACCAAATTTTACTGCGCGAGAAAGACGTGCAGAAATCGGTTAGAAAAGACAGAGTTACTTTCGCAATTATAATATTAAGTATAGATTTTTACGTTCTAAAAGTTCCTGTTTGTGGTTTAGTTAGAATAAATGATTTAGACTTTGTCTTTTGAAAAATATTTCCTTCAATCAAACATGTTTAACCTATCTATAAATAAATAACACAATAGTTGTTACAAATGCTTTATCAGTACATTGTGAAATGTTTGCAATTAACATAGACTTGTAATGCTTATCTATAAATGTATTTCTAAATACATATATACGTAGGTACCGTATAAAATATGAATTTTCCTGTTACTATAATTTGCACAATGAATTTCAAGTGTGGGCCATGCCATGCTTCGGCGCGAATGGGTCGGCTCAGAAAACCGGCGTAAAACAACCACAGCGTTGTGTTTCGCTGTGTAAGTGAGGTTACCGAAGGCCCAATCCTTACCCTACCCCAATCCCTAAATCTCCAAATCCCTGATCCCTAAAAGGTCGGCGACACACTCGTAACTCCTCCGTTGCGGGCGTCCATGGACGGCGCTGATTGCTTGCCATCAGGTAATCAGCCTGCTCGTTTGCCGACATATATAATAAAAAAAAAATGTGTTTCGTTGTACCCACATCTATAAAACATCACGCTACGATTTGTAGGAGCCGAGCAGCGAGACAAGCCGCGACACAGAAGCTAGGGGAAATATAAAAATAATTTGTACTGTATTTAATTAGAGTATCTGTTGTACTGTCTATCTGTACACACAGTTGAACAAATAGCATTAGATTATTTGTTTTGAGACACTGTTCCGTTTAATTCCTTTCCAAATGTATTTGAAGCAAAGCAGTATTAAAAAAAAATATTAAATTATCTTTGGTCAGCCAATAGACCACCACAGACGGGGCGCTATAGGGCTGATGTTCAGCCGAGGTTGCGGGGTAAGCGCAATGAGGCACCGCTGCCTCGGCCCAGACGGGGGAGTTTTTTGTCAGTAAGAGTCTAACACTCTCTCGCCTTACCCTGGGTGGGAGAAATCATTTGATGATTTTCCCCTGACAAAAAAAGGGTAAAGAGTTGTCTATGTGTTATTCCACATTATGATGTCTCTATTCCAAATTTCATTCGATTTGATTTATGAAAGATTATTAAATGTCTATCAATAGTCTTTAAATCTCAGCATTTATAATTAAATTATTTGTGTATAAAAGAATTGTTACATTAAGAAACATTTTACGATAATAATTGATAAATATTAATAACTAACTAACAGATATTCCAATTATTGCACTACATAATTATGGTTTTGTTTAAAAAAAAATGTCCTGAATCTATGTAAAACTTTTTTCTTTAACTACAAACTTTAAATTTATGTGCATTCTTTGGTGTTAAGAAGTATGTATGCATATAAAAAAATGCCATAAAGCATTCTTTATGTGCATTGTATGAAGAAAAAAGAAATAAAATGATAAATAAATATTTTTCCATTGTAATATATTGTTGTGTTTACATTAGTGACACTAAATAAATAAATAAATTGCCCTTTTCATGTCAGCATCAGTTTAGTATCAATAAGAATGTGATTGCTACATGATTATGTGTTGTTTTGATTTTCTCTTACCATATACCTATTCCATTTAATATTTGTAAACATAAAGTAGTATGCAATAAAAATTTATGCACTTTTCCACAAACTATGAAATATTCTTTTTTTTGTTGTTTTTATGTATCTACACTTGTTATAGAAAAAAAATCTTGCTATCTTCTATAAAAACAAAATAAGAGTTTATGTAAAATAATTAAGTACTCTTAATTACACTGAGCCCTACAATTTAAGAATGTGTCAAAAGCCAAGGGTATAAAAGAGGTTTTAATGTCATTCTGTGAAAATACAGCAAATTCTAATATAAATATGTAGTAACCATCTGAGTTTGAACAAAGACATCGGGGTTTAAGGCGATAAAGGTACATTCATCCAGACATCACAGGAAGAACAAATTAACACGAAACGACAACAACCAACGCTTAAATTATGGACAATAAGCACAAACGATAACTTTAGATAAACCCTACCGTAATTATAAACACGCTCTATTTACAAAAAGCCGATAACAGTTGAAATTTTAGTTACGAAATGCAGTAGATGTAAAATAAATTATTTTATATTTTTCTAGTAAATTAAACTAAAAACTTACATTTATTGATCTTCAATTAACAAACATAGAAATCAATCAATCGTTTCGAGATGAAAACATTTCAAATCGATAGTATCTTAATATTTAATATCAAAAATAAAAATATAAACACCCACGGCCACGGCAAGGAACAATACAATTATTTTATTTTTAACACGATTAAATGAAATCACTTTATGATAGACTCACAAGATTTTTCTGTCCTTGTCTTAATGTCGTAGAAGGTCTTCAAGATAAATGAGATAGAGAATAGATCTTGCCTAGTATTTTCATGTCAATTTAATTTTGTAGGCTTATTTTGGTGAATGAATGATTCTTAAATGGTTGAATGAATCATTGAACTGATTTGAATCCCTACTAGTGATGTCTGTTTGACGAAATAATATGGATATCAGACAAAAGGAAGAGATGAAAATAATTAAAAATATGTTAAAGATACTGTCCTGCTATAGTGTATGTTTTTTTTATAATAACTTACAATTATTTTATAAATCAACAACTAGGCAATAAGTATAAAAGCATTAAGTACAAAAAGAAACACATTAAAATGCTATTTCACAAAAGCTATTAAAGTCACTTAAACATGCAAAGAACACTGCAAAACTTAATATTTAAACGCTTAGTAACCTTGACCTATAATTAATGTTCATGTGAAATACAGCAATCAAAGAAATATTCATATCAAATAACTTTCAAGGTTTCAGAATTGCTAAGTCTGCCTAAATCATTTTATACGTAAATTCTTCGAATCACTCAAATTAAGCTAAAAGGTTGCTAAAGTATGGGATAGTTTTATAGTGGAGACCTTGAATTATAAAATGCGCGAACCCGTTATCGATTTGGCGCGTTGGTTAAATTACCTTTGTAACAGATGGATGATAACAACATTAAAAAATCAGAATTTTAGTAATATTTTAATTTACAGAATTGTAGTTGTGTATGGGGTTATTATGTGAGGTAAATTGTGGAATTAAGTAAGAGAACATACAATTATTATATGTAAAAGAATAACTTCAAAATAAAAAGCAAACCAATCATAAAATGCGTTATCACTTACAATTTTGAAGCATTAAGCAATTTTGCGTCCTATTTTTCACTGTTAATGAACACTGAAAGCGGTGCCACACTGCTGTTTCTCTAATTGTATGAAATATATTATACAAATTACATTGTGTATATTTATGGCTGGTGTCGAGTGCAAAATTTGCAATAAATAATTGAACTATTTTAAAACCTGATGCACTGTTTAACACTCATTGTTTTTTTTTTTAGTTTAATCACTTTATTTACACTATAAAGATAAAATGGAACACATTTTCCAGTTCTTTTTAATATTTAGGCTCAATTTCAGCGGCACTGAATACTGTAGTGACATGAGAACTGTGCCACACGTTAGGAAAGAGGGAACGCGATATGGAATTTTATGTCGATACACTTTTCTTATTCACTTCACTCACTACTATAATACTGTAAAATATTACTATCATATGAATTATTTACAACAAAAAATGATTTAATAATGTTTTAATATATTCAGATCGACTTATAAAATGGGTCTCATGTGGGACACAATGAAATCTGCAGGGTTTAAGGTCAGGAAAAGGATGGAAAACCTATTTTAGGAAATGATAGAAAGAGAGGTATACTGAAGATCAAGGTAATATAAACTGAATTGCAATCTTAAGACATTTTTTTGCGAAACCAGTTCTATATATTTATTCATTGTTTAAAACTGATTGGTTTTAGTTATGGTTGAAGAGTATTGTAATTTACTAATAATATCAAACTTATTTTTAAACAATATTTTGGAGTTTATTGTGAGGGTATTTATTTAACTGTTTGCAATGGATTATTTAATTCTTTTTCAGTCTGTTTCAGACTATCGCATAACTTAGGATCATAAAGAGCGACAGCAACATTAAATTTAGACCAAACAAATTTATCTTAGGATGCCGATCTCATGTGTACCACACCATTTATCGATTGTTCCCTTATGTGCGCAGAGGGGCAAAGTCGCACATGCGCGACAACTGAAGGTCTGATAGTGACATTTCATAGTCCGTTGATGTTGAATTTCCGTTTCAATACAATATAAAAAATATTGAAAAAATTAAAAAAGAATCTTTATGGTTTTCTTTTGACTTGATTTACGAAGATTAATAATGAATGAAATGATGACCCATTCTAAACTTAAACCTTGTCAGCACTATTCTGAGTTATTCCCGTTCAATGTCATATTCAAAATCACTATCTACTGTCAAAGTCAATTGGCAACTTTGTCATTACCAAAAAAGCGGCAAAGGCGGGAAGCCGTTTGTGTACATAATTTGTTTTGTTTTTAGTTTTTATTAAAAATGTGCGGTTTAGCTAGCGAAAACCCACTCGAAGTGCAAATAAAATTAATAAGAAAGTATTTGAAATTGAAAATAATGGCGGATAACATTTCGTTTCGTGGTCATAGCCAAGAAAGGAATCATATTTACGATTTGTTTAAGAGAACTGTTTCTCATGGTGAATCGCATTCTGCGCTGATGCTTGGACCTCGGGGTAGTGGCAAAACTACAGTAAGTGATTGAATTTTGTAAGTAAAAGTTGTACCTAAAATATAATAAGAATTTACTCAAATCCTGGATACTTAACCTCTATAGATTCAATTTCTAGTACTTAACATTAATATTTCAGATTTATTGTTTCTTTTTATAAATTATGTTCCGTGGCCATCCTTAGGAAAAATTGGTCAGTGGGTACGTATTGGACGTTCACACCCATTCCGTTATTACAGAATTCCCAACCTATGAGTAAAATCCACTTAGCCATAGTTATGTCTCATTAAAGAGGTAAAATTGACAGTGAATATTTCATTCCTGGCACAAAAAAAACCTGATGTGTCCATCTGTACCTATCTATGCCAAGTTTCATTTGAATCAGTAATTTGGATCTCTCTAAAATTGAAGTTACTGTTCCAACAACCACAAAGTTGATGGTTAAGTACAATAACATTAACAACCACAATCTAATATGTTTCTAGATACTTATATGTATATTTTTAATTTTTTTAGGGAATGCCATAGATAAAACAATATATACCATAAAGCTCTGTTAATGTTTCGAAGGTAATTTAATAGAATGTTATTGCAATTAAAAATGCACTTAAAGAATGCTTTGAAATTCAAAAAGTGTGCCATTTATTTTGAGCAAGCATAGTACCTGGAGCTCCTCAATCTACACACTTTTACCAGATGACTTATATGAGTGAAATGCTCCGACACAATAAAGTAATTTTGAAACTTACTGGGGCTGCCTCCATTTAAATATGACACAATGTTTTATGATGACAGAAGTGCTTCCAGCCTTTTCTTCATTAGGATTTCGGAGATATCGGGATTTGGCAAGAGGAAAGATTGGGCATCCGGTAACCTCATTGGTGGTTGTATCAAACCACAGTTTTCTGTGAGGCCATGCTATCACTCTGGCAAGATGCCCCATATATCGGTACCTTAATTGGCAAATCAGCGAACTTTTACAGACACTTTAATCTCGGTATTATTTTTCGTATACTACATAAATAAAGAAATTTAAAATACCGTTGTATTGAACGATATTAACCTAAATTCATATCTTAAATACTGTCAGATCTTTTATAAATTTTCTTCTTAAAACTAAAGCATTTTTATGTGTTAGGTAGGTACCTATATGTTTTTTGTCAAAATGTGAAGTTGCTGGTTTTACTAATTAAGGTATTGATATGCCAAAGCACGACTTTCACACGCATCTATAGAAAAATTTCAAAATTTTTACAGAATCTATAAAAATTATTTAATTTTATTTCAGCTCATTAACTCGGTTCTTAATCAGATCAGCAAGGAGGTTGATTTGTCGAATGATGCCATCATAGTCAGGTTGAATGGACTCATACATTATGATGAGAAGATAGCTTTGAAATCTATTACTGCTCAGGTATGTATACGTTTGAATTTTTCATTATTTTCCTATATTTCTTACTAGCTCTTACCCGCGGCGTCGCTCCAGTCATTTGAATACCTACCCTGCTCTACCTACCCCACTCTACCTACCCTACTCTACCTACCCCACTCTACCTACCCTACCCTACTCTACCTAACCTACCTACCCTACTCTACCTACCCTACTCTACCTACCCTACTCTACCTAACCTACTCTACCTAATCTACTCTACCTACCCTACTATACCTAACCTACACTACCTACTCTATCCTATCCTATGTCCTTCTCCTGGCCCTAAACTACCTCCCTGCTAATTTTCAGCTAAATCAGTTCAGCCGTTCTTGAGTTATAAGTGGAGTAACTAACACGACTTTCTTTTATATATATACTAGCTCTTACCCGCGGCGTCGCTCCCGTCATTTGACTGCCTACCCTACCTACCCTACTTTACCTACCTTACTTTACCTACCCTACAATACTTACACTACTCTACCTACCCTTCTCTACCTACCCTACTCTACCTAACCTACACTACCTACTCTATCCTATCCTATGTCCTTCTCCTGGCTCTAAACTACCTCCCTGCTAATTTTCACCTAAATCAGTTCAGCTGTTCTTGAGTTATAAGTGGAGTAACTAACACGACTTTCTTTTATATATAAAGAAGATAAGAATAGAATAACATTTATTTCAGACATACGCATGTTAAATAGATATCTAATCTAATCAAAAATGAGGATATTACAAAATTGAACCTTATTATTGAAGCCTAATTTATAAGATTGAAATACTTTATTTTTTGAGTTAGGTCTCTTTTCTGTTTAACAAGCGTAATAATGTCCATATTTGGTTAGTTAATTAGTAACAATATTAACTTACTATTAATGTTAGTAATGTTAGTATTTTTTATTATTTTAAAGTTGCATTTTGCATCTATGAAATTCCACTTCCCTTATCCACTGTGGCGGCTGTGTAACGTGTCGCCGGTTCGGGCCGGGATCCACAAATTTTTGCTTCGAGTCTGTGTGGCTTGGTATTGGTATGTGAATATGTATGTTTGTCAACGCACCCTACTACTACTACACATAAGAAAACATCCTAATGTGGGGTAACAGGAAAAACAAAAACTGAAGCAGTAGCTAGGATTCCATAACGTGCGCATACTGCTTTTAAAAGACCGGCAACGCGCCTGTAATTCCTCTAGTGTTCTTCATAAGCCTATAAGTGCCCACTGCTGAGCAAAGGCCTCTTTTCACACGGAGAAGGTTTGAGCATTAACCACCATACTTACTCGATTTCAAACTTATAATTAGAAATTATAAGTCCAGGTTTCCTCACGATGTTTACCTTCACCGTATCTCAGTGGTGTGGTATCTAAATAATCACAGAAAGTACATATAACTCGGAAAAAGTCACATTGGTACTTGCCAGGTTGCGGACCCACGCACTCATGCATGAAAAGCGGGCACCATAAACTCTCCCTCTCGACTCCTCTGGTGTTGCAGGTGCCCATAGGCTTTATCGCTTACCATCAGGTGATCCGAGGGCTCGTTTGCCTCCTAATCCATAAAAAAATTCTTGATTTCAGATGCAACTGGAAAACGCAGTTGGTGACCGTGTTTTCGGTACGTTCGCTGAGAACCTAGCGTTCCTGCTGAGCTGTCTGCAAAGCGGTGCGGACCGACGCTGCAAGAGTATGCTGTTTATTTTAGAGGAGTTTGATATGTTCTGTCATAGCGGACGCACTCAGACCCTTCTGTATAACCTTTTCGATATTACGCATAGTGAACAGGCTCCTATGTGTGTACTTGGTAAGTTTTTTAAGCCATATAACCTGGTAAAGGTAGCTTGCAGATAGAGGTAGCAGCAGGTAGAGGGAACTAGGGCCCCAGCCGACGCAGTAGGCGACGTTCCGAGCGTCCGGGATCTAGATATGATTTCCGGCCACCGTAAGCGCTGGTCTGCGGACGGCGTGTGTAGTTCGCCGCCCGACCAGAACCAAACCCGAGCGTACGGCGCGTAGCGTTCCGCGCGCGCCTCAAAGAGCGAATAGACCACCACAGACGGGGCCCTACAGGGCTGATGTTCAGCCGGGGTTGCGGGGTATGCGCTATAAGGCACCGCGGCTTCGGCCCAGAGCAGGAGAAGGAACGTGGGTTTTAAAGTAGCCAGTAAGAGTCTGACACTACCTCTTACCCTGGGCGGGAGAAGACATTTGATGATTTTCCCCTGACAAAAAAATACTGACTAATAACCACCCCGTTCCTTCTAATCAAGGCCTTGTTATATTTTTGCACTGGCTAAACATCAAGCCCTATTTGGCCCCATATGTAGTAGACGGTTGGCTTTTGAGACCCTTATTATTTTATTTAAACCTTTCAAAAGTACCATACACACTAAATGGTTAAGCTGAAATAATTGTTTAACTTGCTCTTAATGTTTTTCAAATTTCCAGGTGTAACAAACCGTCTTGATGTAATGGAACTACTGGAGAAACGTGTCAAGTCCCGTTTCTCTCACAGACATCTGTTCATCTTTCCCAACGAGCACGATTCACAGAGGGCGCCACAGTACAAGTATAAAGACGTACTAGTACAACTATTAAGTTTGCCAGTACAGAAAACTGTTAAAAAGAAATCTAGAAGTCGTAGGAATACTGGTAAGTTTAACTTTAAAGTTATTATGATGTCAGGATCAGGATGGTGTCGAAGCGTTGGGCGTTCAAGCAAAATGTTCGGGAGTTGCTTTTGAAGACGTTGGCAGAGGCATCCCGATCATGACATCTAATCTATACCAATACTAATCTTTATATATAAAAATTTCGTGTCACATGTTTGTCCGCGATGGACTCCTAAACTACTAAACCGATTTTAAATTTGATTTGCATTCCGTGTGCATTTTGATCCAACTTGAAAGATAGGATAGCTTACATCTCAATTTATAGTCACATTAATTATTTTATTGCAAATTATTTGTCCATATGTAATATGACAAGAACCTTAGCCACAGCAATGCGTTTCTGCTAGTATTAATATTATAAATAGATACAATTTGTAAGTTTGTATGTAGGAGGTAATCTTTGGAACTAACTAACACTTTTCACCAGTTACAGGATTGAATTAATCAATAGGAAGAGATGCAACTGGCAATAAATGCGTCGCGTTGTTCAGTTCAAATGATAAGTTTTATTTTAACTAAAAAACTATTAAAAGGATTTTGATAAAATTCGCCACAAACAGATTATAGTCTGCAATAACTCACTAGTATTTTATGTGATAGTAGTGCAAACGAGCCGCCGGGTTACCTGATGGTAAGCAATCAGCGCCGCCCATGGACACCATGGAGGTGTTACGAGTGAGTTGCTCACCTTTTGGGGATTAAGGATTTGGAGATTTAGGGATTAGGGGAAGGATTGGGTCTCTGATAACCTCACTCACATGGCGAAACACAACGCTATGCTTGTTTCACGCCGGTTTTCTGTGAGGCCGTGGTATCACTCCGGTCGAGCCGACCCATGGCTCTAAGAACCAAGCGAACTTGCCTCTATTATGTTATAAAAATCTAGTTTTTCAGTTTCAGATGATATGGAAACGGATGCTGCACTGGATAACTCCCTACCACCACATATCCTGGCCCGGTATCCAGATTTTGATCAACTGAATCCAGATTTTATTTTAGATTGGAATCAACATATTACTGGCATGGCTGAAGATTACAAATTGATTGATTGTTTAGAGAAATTGTCCTATTACAGTGTCAACGAACAGATATTTAGGAATATACTGGTGAGTAATATCATTATTCATCATCATCATCATTCATCATTACTGACTAAAAGGGGCCCCCTTTTAGTCAGTAAGAGTCTGACTCTCTCTTTCGCCTTACCCTGAGCGGGAGAAGCCATTTGATATTTTTCCCTAACAAAAAAAGGCTGTTTCTTTACTTGATCTAGTGTCTATGAGTATCTTATTTTATTTTTTGATTAACCATTTTATTCTTTATACGTTTGGTAATAAGGTTTATTATAACTTTTGTTTTTATTTTTATTCCTACCTACGTGATTTTTTAATTTAGGAATTTAGCTTATCAAAATATCACTAACTAGCTTATCTCACGCGGTTTTACCCACTGTTCGGCTCCATTTAATCGTAGCGTTTTATAGCACTCAGGAACATTGTAACTATCTATCAGTGAAAGAAATTTGGCAATCCGACCAGCGGTTCCAAAGATTACCTCCTACATACAAACTGACGAATTTACAAATTTTACCTCTTTGTAATATAAGTATAGAAGTATAGATTTATTAGAGGTTACCGGAGGCCCTATCCTTCCCCTCCCCCAGTCCCTCCTAAATCCCTAAATCTCCAAATCCCTAATCCCTAAAAGGTCGGCAACGCACTCGTAACTCCTCCGTTGCGAGTGTCCATGGGCGGCGCTGATTGCTTACCACCAGGTAATCCGTCTGCTATTTTGCCGAACTATTAAATAAAAAAAAAAAAATAGATATATTATTTCACAATTCGCGAATTGAACCCGAGCCTTACTCTAGTCGAAATAAAAAAAATACCGTTAACAACTTTACTTATTTCTAATTTTTCTTTTTACAGTTTGAACTAGTATCAAAATTATCGTGCGACAGCCCTTACATAGACGTATCAGATCTATCAGCGATCATAGACAAGACTGTTGCTCCGGAGCATAGAGTAAAACTTCTCCAATCGTTGTCTATACTCGAGTTGTCTCTGGTCATCGCTATGAAACATGGCATGGAGATCTTCGACGGACAACCTATGAATTTCGAGATGGTTTTGCATAGGTAAGCTTATTATTTTACTTTATAATAGGTACTACTTTCGTGCCGTTAAGCTCGGCAACTATTTATACTTTTGGTAAAATAGTCTTCTGTCTCTTTGATTTTGTAAAGACCTGAGTCGCAACATATAAGCTACTAGTATTGGTGTTTTATAGCTTTTTTATGACAAGGTCGGCAAACGACCAGCCTAATTACCTGATGGTAAGCAATCGGTGCTGCCCATGGACGCCCGTACCGTAGTTACGAGTGCGATACAAGCCGTTTGGGGATTAGGGTTTCGAATATTTAAGGATTTGGGAGAGATGGGGGGACATAACGGTGTGTTTGTTTCACGGTCATATTTTTTGAGGCCGTGGTATCACTCCGGTCGAGCTGACCCATTTGTGTCGAAGCTTGGCTCTCCCTCACCAAGTTTATATTGGAGGTCATTGGTGGCCTCATACTCCTTCCTTCAAATGTCTTTGCAATGCTTTTTCTACACTTAAGTGTCGTGGCGTAATATGTCACGACACATAAGTGTGTTAATTTTGGGTGTAAGACAAATATAAATAATCCAAACTTCCAAACTAATATAAATGCGAAAGTAACTCTCTCTGTCTGTCTGTCTGTCTTTTCTTCACGCCTAAACTACTGAACCGATTTCTGTGTAAATTGATACAGACATAGTCTGGAACTCGAGAAAGGTCATAGAATAGTTTTTATACCAAAAATCTGCAGAAAGTCACTGTTCCACGCGAACGAAGTCACGGACAAAAGCTAGTAATAATAATAATATAATAGAGCCCACTTCTTGCTTACAGATACACAAAGTTCGCCAATTCAAACTCATCAACGCAAACAGTACCTCGTCCAGTCATACTAAAAGCCTTCGAACATCTACAAGAACTAGAAATCATAATGCCAGTCAAGACCACAGACTCAATATACAACGGAAGTGAGACCACAGCCAATAGAGTGCAAAAAGAATATAAATTATACACTCTGGCCGTCCCAAATGAAGATATAAGTGATGCAGTTAAAAATTTCAAAGCGTTGCCAACTGAAATTAATCATTGGTTCAATAATTCTGTTGTTTGAATTTTTTCAGTGTGGCAACACCCGTTTTTAACTATTGTATTGTAAGCCTAGACAGATATCAGGCACCGTACATCACTATATAATAAAAAAGTGCTTTTTACTGTCTATATATCCCTATGTATGCTTAAATCTTTAAAACTACGCAACGGATATTGATGCGATTTTTTTGAACAGACAGAATGATTGAAGATGATAATACAGTTCTATCTTACCTTGTTCTTAAAAAGCTTTTCAGTGTTTTTTTATTTATTGAGTAATTATGTGTAAGGACTTTGTCAAATAAATTCGATCATGAAACAAGATGTTTTATAAAAATCTGTAAATTAAGACTGAAATTACGATAAAAATAAAACTAATTTATTTATTTGTACTTTGTTTTATTTATCAATATATTATCTTAAGACTACTATTCTACTCTTTGTGTGATCCACAAATATGTAGTTGTTTCTATACACACCACACCCAGACCCGGAACAACAATTCGCGGAACACAGAGTTGTTCCGAGCGGGAATCGAATTATTATGGCCATGCGTAGACGACAGACTATCCGTGACGCACTGTGAATATAGAACCTATGCAATTATATACATTAACGCACACGCCGCTTAAAAAGTCCGGCGCACAAAAAATCCTTGTAATTTGGGCAAATCGCACAACGCCGCTCCGCACGGAAGGTGTGTGAAAAAAATTTAACGCGCGCTAACGCAGACGGTGCACACTTTATTTGGCAATCTGCATTTGCTAGGGATTGACGTAACGCACATAAAAAAATTGAAAAACATTTTTCCGTATGTTGTTTCGGAATTAAATATTTAGTATGAAACTGCTCCTTCAGTCATCTTTCTGAAAGTATAGGATGAACCCAAAATTCTGTATTTCTTCTTCTTTTTCTGTACTTCATGTACAAAATAATATTTCGTGATCTCTTTGCGATTTCCATAGCGTCTACGTCCCTACAGCTCTGCCGACAAAATGATCAAAGATGTGCGTCGTGTGCGTTAAGTCTGCGGAAAATCTGCGACCGACTTTTTGCGCGCCATGCAGACTTTGTGCGCCGCAGATTCGATCGTACAAAAAGTGTGCCGTCTGCGCAGGGCCTATAATTATGTTATTAATAATATGTTTAGTCTAACCATCGGATGTTAGACGTAGCACTCCTTTGCACATCCTTCTTATAATCGTCTTCATGAAATCTGTACCTAAATCGGTCCTGACTGGCGCTTATCCGACCTAATTCCGCCAATTCTTTAGGCGACAAATCCTTATACCTTTTCCCCTTTATTTCCTCTGGTATCACATGAATTACATTACTGACCTCTTTATTTATTAGTGTGGTATCATTAATTTCATGGACCATAGAGTCTAGAGCGCTGTGGGCGTGGTTTCCGGTGTTGCCAGGTCTTTTGTGCAAAAAGCCTTGGTTTGTGAACGAAGAAGTTGGTTCTTGATCGCTGACGTATGCTTTGTTGCTAAACACATGGAATAAGCCGTTCTTTTTCTTCGCCTGTAAGAAAATGTTATAAGTGACAAACAGTCGGACCTATATATTTAGAATTTGCATATTAATGAGTGCATGCATATGATATGCAGTAGGTATATTTCTATTTCTAGTCACTAGTGTATATTTCTTTTCAAATAAAGTTTTATATCTAAGTGCCTACGTCATTCATTTACGCCGTTGTCCAACGGAGATAAGATATAAAATGTAATATGAAAAAAATTGCTCAGAAAAGAATAAATGAAAAAAAAAAAACAAAACAATAACTTAAAAATATCTTATAATTAGTAAAAAAAAAAAAATACAAATGAAATCTAAAAATATTAGGTATAAGTGATCTGTAGACTACATTTCTATCACATAGTGTTTAAAATCTTAATATGCTTCTAAATGATCTAAGGTTTGAGTGAATAGGTTGCTTATGGGTAGACGTGCTCCATCGTAGGTCGCATCATCGCTTATCACCAGGCGAGACAGGAGCCAAACCCTGGCACAGTCCAATAAAAGCTAGTTTTTTCACTACTATTGGATTACCTGATGGTAGACAATCAGTGTCGCCCATGGACACCCTCATCATCAGAGGAATTACTAGTGCGTTGCCGGCCTTTTGGGGATAAGTGTTACGGAGATTTAGGGATTGGGGGAGGAGAAGAAAGATTGGGCCTCCGGCAGCTTCGTTCACACGGCGAAATACAACGCTGTGGTCGTTTCAAGCCAGTTTACTGTGAGGCCGTGGTATCACTCCGGTCAAGCCGACCCATTTGTGCCTAAGCATGGCTCTCCCACACTTTCTACTGCATATTATAAATATGTACTAGCCTCATTTAGTTTGTCGACAATATATCCATGACCGGTGTTCATTCCGACTGTTGCCATCTGTTCGATGCTGTTTGATCTGTGGTACGGACGCAGCGCTGATACCGCGCGAGATATTCCCACCTGAAAAAATAGATTACCGTATTCATTACTATTTAAAGGTCAGAGTCACCCGGCGTCCATCTTACACCGTCAAGCCCCACAGCGTCGACACGTTGGCGACAGGTAGTCCACGAGTAGATGTTGTGTTCTCACCAATAACCGTCCCGCGGTCATCCAGTGGACGCCAAGTGATCGACGAGTGGACGCTGCTTGGTTAATGAATTTTCGAGTTGTCTGTAAATAATTGGCACTAAAGCAGCTCGCGGTCCATTCGGGACCGGCGCGTTAGCAACGCCCATTCAAGGCAAGCATTCTAGCAGGGAGTTGTCACCAAATGGTCCACTCGCCGTCTGCGCGTGAATGGCTTAAAACTTAGGCGATCTGGTGCCGCTATGGAGTTTGTGTAGTGGGTGTAGTGGGCGCATGTCCCTAAAAGACCATATAGGTAAAGAATACTAACAGCATGAGGCAAGTCGGTGCAGAGAGAGTGCCGGGTGAATCTAATGAGCTGTGACCTAAAATTTTCGAACACGGCAAGCTTTTTATACCTATAGGTACTAATATGATAAAGAGGTAAAATTTTTAAGTTTGTATGATAGCTACAATGTTCCTGAGTGCTATAGGCTCTAAAACATCACGCTACGATCAAATGGAGCCGAGAAGCGGGTACCTACTGTCCTTAGGTAATTGGCTTCCCACGTAGCGCTTAAAAAGTAGATTGCCATAAAGCACAAATATCAAAAACTTTTTTTAATTTATAAGTAATGAATGTACAAACCTGTCCATGTCGAATTCTGTGCTCAGTAATATCAGCTCCCAATAGCTCAGTGTAGGGATCCATGCGTATTGGCATGATCTTGTCTATGCACCAGAGCAGAGTGATGGTCACTAGAATCCCCCATGCCACTAGGCATACGCCTGTTAGGGATTGCACACCAAGGAGGTACCAACCGCCACCTGAAAAAGGCCGCGAGATCTGCACTGTAATGTCGAGCCAGGGTTGCGGGGCAAGAATAAGGTACCGAGGCCCTGGCCTGCTGCAGGAGATGGAACGTGGGGGTCTTTAGTCAGTAAGAGTCTGAGACTCCCTTTCGCCCCGTCCAGGGTATAAGAAGTCATATATGATGATACTCACTCCTCAAAATAATGGCAAAAAAAGTTAAATCAATTTATTTCTAACTAGCTTTTGTTCGCGTGGAATAGTGACTTCTTGCAGATTTTTGGCTTTAAAAACTATGATATGTCCTTTCTTCTCGAGTTCCAAGCTATGCCTGCAGCAAATTCCACACAAATAGGTTCAGTTGTTTAGGCGTGAAGAAAAGACAGACAGACAGACAGACAGAGTTACTTTCGCATTTATAATATTAGTTAGGATATTAGTTAGGATAGACCACTACAGACAATTTTGGACGTCAAAAAAAAAAAAAGAAATATCAAGAGGTTGAACTTTGTGTGTGTCAGTCTGTCGGTCTGACCTTTATGAAGCTATTTGCTCTTTCCAAAGTGTAGATATCTATGGAGAAGAACGAGCAAGAAACTCCATAGTTACTCTTTTACAATCAGTTTTACAATTCCAATACAAAAATAATACTATGCTATGTATAAATGTGCTATCTACTTACCCTTTTTTTTTGTGAGGGGAATATCATCAGATGACTTCTCCCGCCCAGGGTCGGGCGGGAGGGAGTGTCAGCAGACTCTTACTGACTAAAAATTCCCCCGTTCCTACTCCTGCTCTAGGCCGAGGTCGCGGTGCCTCATTGCGCTTACCCCGCAACCCCGGCTGAACATCAGCCCTATAGGGCCCCGTCTGTGGTGGTCTATTGGCTCTTCGAGGCGCGCGCGGAACGCTACGCGCCGTTCGCTCGGGATCTACTTACCCTTGAATAATCCAGATCTACCGTTTGTAGTTTCCATGGGAATCGGATTATCGGCGAAAAGTCCAACTGCTAGAACACCTGGAAATACAAAATCCGGATTGATACCACGGCCTCATAAAAAACGGGCGTGAAACAACCACTCGTTGTATTTCGCCGTGAGAGTGAGTTTCCCGGAGGCTTAAAATGTTCCATGAACTGAGTTCGGCAGGAGCAGTGATCTACAGCCAAATAAAAATATTATAGGTATCCTTTAACTAGTACAAACAAAGATATTATAAGTATAAAGGTGTAGATAGGTTACAAGCGTCCAGCAAGTGATACATTAAAATGTGGCTAACTAGCCACACTTTTTCATATTTGTCTCTTTTTCACTCGCGCTTATTGAATCATGCCATCTCACTTTGACGTCTAAACATACGAATTGTTCATGTGTGTATCAGTGTGTCGTTTCTGAAAATCGAAATTTGTTTAGGTAACCTATCTACACTATTTTACTTATAATATCATTATCTTCAAGGATTGAAGGATTCTTCATTGACTTCAAGGAGTATTCCATTTTGGACAACAAGTACAACTGTTTGTGTGATAATTTGTAATTTTAATTGTATATTTGTACTCAATCAACGTAAATTAGAATGAGCAAAATCTTTCAAGAAAAATCCCTGATTATTCAATTTATCAAAACTAGCTACTAGCTTTTCCGTACGCGTCGAATGGTGACTTCCTGCAGATTTTTGATATAAAAACTATCCTATGTCCTTTCTCGAGTTCCAAACTATATCTGTACCAAATTTCACAGAAATCGGTTCAGTAGTTTAGGCGTGAGGAAAAGATAGACAGACAGACAGAGCTACTTTCGCATTTATAATGTTAGTATAGATTCAAAGGCATCTTACCCCAAAGACCGCAGGCGCCATGAACAGCGGACGCGCCAACTGGATCGTCTACCCCCATCATGTCAAACAGCGGAGACGTGCCTGAAGCTATGGCAGCCCCTATGAACCCTATCAGCAACGACTCCCAGGCCCGGTACAGGAAACATCCAGCTATGATAAGAAGATAGGAACATGACATTGACTCTCAGAAAAACAACTTAAATGAAAAACCTTGCATTGTCCTTCATCGTTTGAGTTAGACTTAGGGCTAGGTACTTGTGACTCTTTGTGTGGACAGCGCTGATCTTTTACAATCAAGTGATCCTTCTGTTTATTTTCCTTCTATGTCCACAAAAAAGTGTGGCGGATGTCCAATCTCCGCCTAATGTAGGCTAAGTACTAGAATATGTTTGACGTGTAAAAGTGCCGTTTTATGGCCTATTTGCAAAAATAAATTCATTGTTTCATTACGGGCTGGCATCTGGCGTTGCAAGAGAATATAGACGGCGTCGCTAATTGCTTACTTGTTTATAAATCTGATTGAATACTTATGAGATCCATCATCATTATCATTATTCCAGCCATGAGGCATTTGCTCTTGAACAATACCAAGGCCTTCCTTCCGTCACTTATATAGATCGACCATTTGAAAGTAGCCTGCATTCAGGCTTTCTGAGCCGTTAATAAACAGGACAATGCTTTTTTTTTGAAAATAGGGTCTAAAATAGAACTTTTACACGCCAAAATTATACATAAACATACTCTTATCTGACTACTCTGAGAAGAAATGCCGAAACAAACTTAGAGATCAGTTTCTTTTAAAGTCCAGACAATGCTATGTGTGAGAATAGAGCAGTTCTTTTGTTTCGTTGTGGTGGACCAATTCTAAATACAGGCACGCAAGTGTCAGTTTACAACTAGCACAATATATGGGTGTTGCTGAATTGACCGACGAACAATACCGACCAAAAGAACTTTAGGGAAGGTCACACAAATATTCAAAGTGACGGAACGTTATGTACGATCTGACACTATTAGTCGAAAATTAATTATTAGTCGAAGTGATATAAAGAAAGTCGTTTAAGGGTGCGTCCACATCTGGCGAATGTGCCGCGAAGGCCCAGCTCGCGAGTCGACTGCGACCTGTCCGCGAGCTGCGCGCGTGCAATCACTGCAATGGTTTGGTGCGCCTCTTTAGCGCAACTCATGCAAGGCTCGTATAGAGCGCGCGAGGCGCGCACGATCTGCGCGCACTCAGTTCTCGCCTATTTTTTTAGATTTTTTCTATAGTAATATTTATCTTTAGGATCCCATAACACTGGATATCTTTTATACGTTTCAATTAAGCGTAAACAATTCTCCTCCGTCCACTTCATGACAACACGATCTTAGCCTCCAGAAATCAGAAACTGAGCGGGTAAGTTATGAATTATTTAATAACTAGCGCGCCGCCCGCGCGCTTATCGTGAACGGCGCTCAGGTCGAGCGCGAACTGCGCGCGGGCGGCGCAGAAGCGGCGCACGAACAAAAATGCACGCGCGCAGCTCGCGGACCGGTCGCAAACGTCTCGCGAGCTGCGCATTCGCGGCACATTCGCCAAATGTGGACGCACCCTTAAAAACTAAATAAATAGGAGTTGCCAATTACCAGTTATAGAAACAAGCGATCCAAGGACACTGTTGATGAGTTCCATAACTTCAGCCTTACCCTTGTTTTTGATTAGTGTGAAGCTGAAAACAAAAATGGCAATTTTTACTACTCTATCATTTTTAACAAGCTCAAAGACATAGTTGCGTTATATACTATATGCTAAAATGTGAGTGAGCCATTAATTTTTTTAAAGAGGAACATCTTCCAACTGCTTGGGGAGAGACGGAGAGTCAGACTCTTATTGACTAAAAACCTGTCCGTTCCTTCTCCTGCTCTGGGCCGAGGCTGCGGTGCCTAATTGCGCTAGCACTGCAACCTTGGCTTGCCATGGGGCCTGGTCCGGTCCATTGGCATTTGCAGTAGTCTGATGGCTCTTTGGGGGCAGAAATGACTAGTCGGTTGACGTAATGGCTTAATTCCTGTAGGTTGAAGGATCATGAATATCCGGTTACAACCAGAGTAGGACGGGTTGGTTAGGTTAGGTTAGAACTGTGAACATCACAGAATACGAATAGCCATCGCAAATAAACAGCTACTCAAATTGTACTGCGATCAAAAGCCTAGCTTAATATTGATCGAACGGCTGTGGTCACCAGTTGGCTGCTTCAGTTGTATAGGAACTGGTACCGAGCAACCCTGAGGAAGTAGCTCATCAGATTATACTCACAGTAATCCAAAGCAGCCTCCTCCGAAGGAACCCATCATAGTCATAACGGCAGCTCGCGCTGCATACTGCCATTTTGCTCCGCTCACCTGCAAGTAAAGTCAATGAGAAGTTTAGGCAAATGCAGTGTAGGGCGTCCTCCAGCTAGGTGGACTGAAGATATCCTTAGGGTCACTGGCAGTGGTTGGATGAGAAGAGCTGAACATCAAGCTCAGTGGCGTGCAAATGGAGAAGTAATACACGATGCTCTCCACTCGGCGGCAGATAGAAATAGATGGCGGAGAGTAATACGCAGTACACTGCTTCCAAGAGGTGGTCACGACCCTCAGCATTGAGGACATCGATGTAAGGAGGAGGAGGAATGCCAGCACATTTTTCATCGTAAAGGATCGCGGTCGCCGTGTAGGTTCCGGTACGTATCAGGAGAAGTAACGGGATGGTTTTTTGCCAGTAAGAGTCTAACTAGATAAAGTAGATAAAATTTAAGGAATAGCACACAACTACAACAACACATACAAACTCTTAGCTTAACCAAATTACCTATATGTTAATACTAGCTTTTGTCCGCGACTCCGCTCCGTGAATTGTAACTTCCTGCAGATTGTTGGTATAAAAACTATCCTATGTCCTCTCCCGAGTTTTAAACTATGTCTGTACCAAATTTCACAGAAATCGGCTCAGTAGTTTAGGCGTGAAGAAAAGACAGACAGACAGAGTTACTTTCGCATTTATAATATTAGTTTGGATTAAAAGGCTAAAGCGTTTATTTGCTTGAACGCGCTAATCTCTGGAACTAATGGTTCTAATTTAACCTTTTTTTTTGTGTTGATAGTCCATTTATAGAGGAAGGCTACCTTGTATATTGCGTTAAAACCACTAGGTGAAACACGCGGGTTTTCTAATAACAAGGCGGTATTTAAATAATTCAAGCAAAGAAACATGGTATATTTTTAAACACGGCTAAACGATAGGACATTATGGATATCCCTAATGAAGCTAGGTAATCGCTTCGCATACGTAATGCCTAACCCATTGTACACTAAATAGTAGTCAATCAATTATCTATACATTTGACATGCAAACTGAATTACAAACGATTTGCCTAATTTATTAAAATCACCGACGTTTACCGACAATCCTGTTCAAATAATCATTTGTATTTACCATGAATTGAAGTGTTTTAGAGTTTTTTTGCCAAGGGTAAAAACAACACCGAGGGCCGGGCACGCTATTATAGCACCGGTAAGACCACTCTTTGAGGAGTGGCTTGAGAGACGCCACGGCGTCCTCACCTTCCGCCTGATGCAAGTCCTTATCGGGCACGGAAGTTAAAAAAAGTCAAAAATCATTTATATCAATTAGACCCTAACTGTTAGGCAGAATCCCGCCAGGCACGATCATCTCGCCTGGTCGGAGGATCCTCCTTTTCCGATATAAGGGAACTTTACTCTCTTTTCCCTAAAGACTCATCTCCTCCTCGCATACAGACGTTAGAGAGCCTTTCTTTTTTATGTTTTAGGTCAGCAAACGAGCAGACCTGATGGTGAGCAATCGGCGCCGCCCATGGACACCCGCAACAACAGAGGAGTTACGAGTGCCTTGACGATTTGGGAGATTTAGGGATTGGGGAGGGGAAGGAATGGGCCTCCGGTAACCTCACTCACACGGCGAAACATAACGCTGTGGTTGTTTCATGCCGGTTTTTGTGAGGCCGTGGTATCACTTCGGTCGAGCCGACTCATTCGTGCAGAAGCATGGCTCTCCCACACTTCGGCAATCCGGCATGAATGGTGCTCGACCGGAGTGATACGGTGGCCCTGGTGTTTTGTTATGTGATTGAGGTTACCCAAGTCCCAATAATTCCCTCGTCTTCCTAAATTTTCAATTTCCTTAATCCCTAACAACCTCAGAAAGGGTAGCCACGTACATACTTGCAACTTCGGTGTTGTGAGAGTAAATACGAAGCGCGGTTTGCTTACCATCAGGTAGCGACCTACCCCTATATCGATCATTTTCGAAAAGTTGACATAGGTATTGGCTATCCACAATCTTTACTCTAAAAAAGCCACTACTAATCTTAACTTTGTAATTCAAAATGGTGGTAACACCATTATACCTAAATATTTAGACATTTTCCTGAAAAGCGATCTATTTTAAATAACCATTACTATGTCACAAAACTACTTATTTATATTATTTCAGCAATTACAGAAACAATAATTAACACATGCAAAACTCCGTCGAAGTTAAATAATGATGAGTTATTTTTACTGTTGTCTTAAAGGAACATTAATGTAAATGGTCTTGTCATGTCGGTGATAGCTCATTGTCATCTTCTATTGTTCTTTTTAATAGTACTGCTTTTTCGTCAGTCACACCCGGTTTCCGAAAGGCCGATCACTGTTAAAATCAATTTAATCTCTTGTCAAGACATCCAATTGGTTGACTGAATTATCAACAACCAATCAGATGACTTGACAAGAGATTTAACAGGAGATTAGTTAATTTTAGCGTTGACAAGCCTTTCAGAAACCGGGCGTAAGAGTCTTATATACTTAGTTGAAAAAACATCAAATTACCTCTTTTTCTTTAGGATAAGGCGAGAGGGAGTGTCAGACTCAATCAATATGGGCCTCTAGCATGGCTTGAAACTAGTCGAGTATCTCGTCAAATTATTACGTGAGTAAGCCGAAAACATAATAATTAATTTAGAATGTCTCACAAACGTTATAATAAAAATATCATCAGCCTGATTTCGTCTGCATTTGGGCATAACAAAAGCCTCCCAAGGTCAGACTCTTACTGACTAAAAACCAGTCCGTTCTTTTTCCTGTTCCGGGCCGGGGTCGCGGTATATTATTGCGGCTAGTAAATGTCAAAGTTAACACCATTTATTTTAATTACACCTTTTGAACGTCAAAAAAAGCTTTAAGATAAAAAGTGTCAGTTGACTGCACGGTTGGTGCGGTGGCTGGGCAACTGACTGCCGCGCAACGTGTCAAGAGTTCGATTCCCGCACGGTATAACTCTTTGTGTGATTCAGAAATTGTTGTTCCGGGTCTGGGTGTGATGTGTATGTGAAATTGTATGTTTGTAACCGCACCCACGACACAGGAGGGGCAACGTTTATTTAAAGAAAAGAAATGTCTTTTGGTCAGTCCCATCCGCAACCCTGGCTCATCCCATCGGCCCTAGTGGAATCCATCTGTGGTGGTCTAACTAATGGCTCCTTTTAAGCGCGCGTTGAATGTGAAGCTCTTAAAAACCAATATATCCTGGTCTTGCTTTGTCTGTTTTTAACGTCGTGGTGGCCTGGACCTTAAGTCACTCGCTCCCATGCATAAACCCGCACATTCGAAACTTGGCAAGTGCCAATGTGACTTTTTCCGAATCATAAAAAACATCGTGAGGAAACCTGGAATTATCATTTCTAATTATAGGCAAGTTAGAGCACGCGTGGTTCTCCGTGCGAGTAGAGGCCTTTGCTCAGCAGTGGCCACTTGTAGCCTGAATATGATGATTGCTTTGACTGACCTTCTCTCACATTCTAGGTTTATCCTCGTTATTCCCAGTTGAAATGTAGTCATGCTACATTATTACCTCGAAACATGACTTATTTAACATTAGACTAACAATATACTTAGGTACATGTAACAAAAATTAATTGCGAAATTGATTGAAAAAGAGTAACCATGGAGTTTCTTGCTCGTTCTTCTCTATTGGAACGAGCAAATAGCTTCACTAAAGGACATATCGACAGACTGACACACAAACTTTTTGATATTTGTTTCTTGTATGATTTGACATTGACTTTGAAAAAAATATTCTTTGTTTTTCTTGCGACCTTGAAGTAACATGTCTTAGAAATGCAACAAATAATGTCGAACCAATAAATCTCTCGCAATGTTTTGTTAAGATGTCGTGCTCATTTTTAATTGGATAGTTAATGGTAATGAGTTTTAGTACTAAACTCATTATTTTTAAACATGGAAGAGTTACGCTTCGGCACGAATTGGCCGAGCTCGATCGGAGTGATACCAAGGAAAATAAGCGGAAACATTCACGTTGTGTTTGCCGTTTGAGTCAGATTACTAGACAGCGGATTCCCCTACTATCCCTAATCTTGAGGATTCTTTTTTCATTTAGATCCCTAACTCAAGATGCCGTTCTTGGCATTTGTGGGTTTATTAGATGGATCAGTAAAAATAGTGCAACTAAATTTTCACTACAGATTTACATGTATAGAAAGTTCTAACGTAGTACTGTTGACCAGTCGCCGGCTAGGCATCAATGAAACAATGAAAAAATTAATTTTTTTTGCAAATAGGCCATTTTTATGTGAGGGGAAAATCATCAAATGACTTCTCCTGCCCAGGGCCGGGCGAGCGGGAGTGTCAGACTCTTACTGACTAAACACGCCCCTGTTCCTTCTCCTGGTCTGGGCGAGGTCGCGGTGCCTCATTGCGCTTACCCCGCAACCCCGGCTGAACATCAGCCCTTTAGGGCCCCGTCTGTGGTGGTCTATTGGCTCTTTGAGGCGCGCGCGGAACGCTACGCGCCGTACGTTCGGGCCTGGTTCCGGTCGGGCGGCGAGCTGCCCTTACTCGCCGTCCGCAGACCCGTGCTTACGGTGGCCGGAGATCGTCCCTTGATCCTCGACGCCCGTAGTGTCGCCAGTTGCGGCGGCTGGGGCGTTAGGAGGAGGATTGCTCCCTTACGCGGGCCGCCTCTCTCTTTGCGGCAAATAGGTCATAAAACGGCACTTTTACATGTCAAATTATATGTAAAAGCTAGATGAAGCCATCATAGCCTTTTCAGACTTTTTTATGCAATGCAGACGGATAACCTGATGGTAAGCAATCAGTGCCGCCCATGAACACCCGCAACGGAGGCGTTACGAGTGCGTTGCCGACCTTTGGGGATTAGGGTTTTGGAGATCCAGGGATTAGGGGAGGGGAAGGATTGGGCCTCCGGTAACCTCACTCACACGGCGAAACACAACGCTGTGGTTGTTCCACGCCAGTTTGCTACGAAGCCGTGGTATCACTCCGGTCGAGCCGACCCATTCGTGCTTGAAGCATGGCTCTACCACATTGCATACTCACATTTTAGTGAACTTTACTCTTTGTTTAGTTTTTCTATACTTAGTTACGATTTTGTCCCGAAAACATTAACTTAAGACTGGGGTTAAGTAACCATTAAACGACTCTGAGTGCCACCTTTTGGTGGATATGTCGAACTGAAGTTTGCCTTTCCGACCCCAAAAATTTGACAACGCCCTAATGTATAACTTATCTAGTATTGCGATTGTCCATCGTTACAGCAAGGTGATGATAAGCCTTTTCGTAAGCTATTCTATTCCAAAAAAATTTATTTTTTTATATTTTTTTTGTGATTCAGCCATGCTTCACCAGTTCACCACCAATGGGCCGGCTCGACCGGAGTAGATTCCATGGATTCACAGGAAACCAGTTTTTAACAACCACAGCGTTGTGTTTCACCGTGTAAGTAAGGTTATCAATTCTTGAATCCCTAGAATCCATTCTAGGGATTCAAGAATTTACAACGTACTTATGATGTTGCAGATGTCCAGGGGCGGCCGTTGCCGATTCTTTACCATCAGGTTATCCGTCTGCTCGTTAGCCAGCGTATCACACAAAAAAAACAGATCCAAATTTATCACAAATCAGTCGAACAGCCATTTTTGAGATATTTCGCCTAAAACTTTTACAAATCCATTTTTGTAGTTATTTCTCTAGGTACATACTTACTCCATAAGTGCTGCCGGAATTGAAGGCCAGCCACCCCCACCAGAGAACGAATGTCCCCATGACTGCATTGACAGGATTGCCCATAGGTAGTGGAGCGATACCATGAGCATACCGTCCCAGTCGAGGACCTAGCATGAGAGCTGAAGCGAAGGCCGACGCACCACCTGAACAAATAATATTTGAACCTTATTAAAAAGTATAAGAAACCCGGAATACCAGAGGACTTATAAGTGCTTTCATGGTGTGCGCCGAGAGGAACTGGGACGCCGTCTCCTCCTTCTGTGAAGCAGTTATGCTCGCAAAGAGGGAGGCGGACCGCGTGAGGGAGCAATCAGACTCCTCACGCCCCAACCGCCGCCGCAGGACCAGAACCAGACCCAAGTGTATGGCGCGTAGCGTGCCGCGCCTCAAAGAGCCAATAGACCACCACAGACGAGGCCCTATAGGGCTGATGTTCAGCTGGAGTTGCGGGGTAAGCGCAATGAGGCACCGCGACCTCGGCCCAGAGCAGGAGAAGGAACAGGAGGTTTTTAGTCAGTAAGAGTCTGACACTCCCTCCCGCCCGGCCCTGGGCGGGAAAAACCATTTGATGATTTTCCCCTCATAAAAAAAGTGCTTTCGTCGAGTAATCTCAAAACGATCTTATCCACCCGAGTCAAGATGGGACCCAATAGGTCTGATATTCAGCTGGGGTTGCGGTTCAAGCGCAATAATGAACCGCGGCCTCGTCCTGGAAAAATACATAGGTGTGGGTTATGGTCGGTAAGGGTCTGACTCTCCTTCTCGCTTCGCCCAAAGCGAGAGAAGACACTCGTTAATTTTTCGCACTACCAAAAAAGACCACCAAAATCAGACAATCACAAACGGGTTTTACTAGGGCTGACTTCTAGCCGTGGTTGCGAGCCTCGCGCAAAGATGTAGTCCAGCTCAGCTTAGAGCAGGAGTTGGAACTGGGTGGTTATACTCGTCTAGTCATCGCGGTGGCCCGAAGGTTAAGAAGGTGCATGTGTGAGTCGAAATCTGGCATATGCATATGTAATTTCTAAGATTATTTAGACACTACTGACATACGGTCAAGGACAACATTGTGACGAAACCTGGCTTTATTATTTCTATTTTCTAATTATAAAGTTTGAAATCGCCAATCCGCCTCGAGCAAGCGTAGTGGTGAATGCTCATACCTTCTCCGTGCCAGAAGAGGCCTTTGCTCAGCAGTGGAAATTTATAGACTGATGATGTGATGTGATGTTAATTGTGGAGGATATGGCAAACTTAAATCTTGAAGAGAAGGGACACGTCCAGTTGTTTATGATGATGATGATAAAGATGATGAAGCATTACCTATAAGATGCACAGGACCGGAGCCAGCAATGTCGACAGCGCCCAGCTTATTCAGGAACCCATGGGATCCCCACACCCATCCGGCTGGCACGCAGTATACTATCGTGTTCAGCAAGGAGAACAGACAGTACGCCTTGAAGTTACATCTGGTTGTGGAAGGAATTTAAACCTTAAGCGCTGCTTTTTAACATACCACGTTGCCGAGGCTTCAGGTGGAAGCTAGTTTTATATGAAGATTTTTGCTCTTCTCCATTCGAATTAACACTTTGGAACGAGCACTTAGCTTCAATGATGAACTGACTTACTGACTCTTATTCTTTTTTACGTTTCAAAAGTTGCTTATTAATTTCATATGATGTATGGAAGAGCCAAGCTCCAGCACGAACTCGACTTCGGAAGCCGAGGCTCGATCAGAGATCGGGACCACGGCCACACAGAACATCGGCGTAAAACGACCACAGCGTGTTGTGTTTCGGCATGTGAGTGAGGTGACCTAAAGTCCATCCTTCCCCTCCCTTGGATTAGGATTTTGGATATTCAAGGATTAGGAGAGGATGGCTAAATCCCTAAAAGGCCGGTAACGCACTCGTAAATCCTTTGGGGTTATCCGACGCCGGTTGCTTACCATCAGGGAATCGCTTCACTCGTTTGCTGTCCCATTTCATACACAAACATAAAAAAACAAAGCAACTACAGGTGTAGCATGCTAGCTTTCTTGGTAGGTAAAATAACCTTATTTACATACCTTTCAGCCATTGCCCCGCTAACAATAGTAGTGGCGGTGGTAGCGAAGGAGAGCTGGAACAGGAAAGACGCGAACACAGGACCCATCAGAGCATCCCCCACTGGGGGGTCCAGTAGAAAGTCCCCTACCCCTATAAAAGGGTTAGAGTATGTCCCTTCGCCGAAAGACATGCCGTAGCCGAAAATCCAGTAGGTGAGACCTATGGGAAAATTTTGTTTTTTGAGATTGCGTGCCATGAATTAGTAAGAACACCAGCGATAGTTTGAAACAAGTCGAGGTAACACGTCAACTAGTTACGTGAGTAAGCTGCATCGAGCAGTTTGGCCATTATCTATCGTCTGGTGATGGTAATTAATTTTGATTGTCATGTTACGTATTAAGCGTGGAATGTTTTATTTTATTAATTTATTTATTTACATCATTAACAACTATCATATATCAATAGCCATGTTTCGGCACGAATGATACCACGACGGCAAAGAAAACCGAGGGGAAACAACTACAGCGTTGTGTTTCGCCGCGTGAGTGAGGTTACTTCGGGCTCAACACTCCACCTTCCCAAAACTTTAATCCTCAAAAGGCCGGCAACACACTCGTTATTCCTTTGGTGTTGCGAGTGTCTATGCGCATCGGCGAATGCTTACCATCAGGAAATCCATGACCTGTTTTACCGCCCTTTTACGAGTACATATCAAGAAATAAATTCCTTTTCTTATTCACTACTATATTCTCAGATAAAGCAATGGATGGAAGAGTCTCGCCGAAAATCCATCGACAAATTGCTATAGGTTGAACTGCTGTCCACTATAAAAATCTTACCACCCAATGAGATATCAGCCAGATTCTTCATCATGATGTTAGCTTCGTTCTTTATGGAGACACATCCAGATTCCAGCATGCCAAAACCTGGATAGGAAAGAACAATTATTAAAGACTTTTCTAAGGTTTCCCTAACTACATATCCTCCTCAGCCCGGGGGCTGTCTCTGCCCTACGAGCAAATGCGAGCAAAATATTAAATGACACTCTAGCCTGAGGACGACCACAGACGGGGCCATTTAGGGCTGATATTCAGCCGGGGTTGCGGGGTATGCGCAATAAGAGAGCAGGAGAAGGAGAGAAGGAACGTGCGGGTTTTTAGTCAGTGAGAGTCTGACACTCTCTCTCGCCTCACCTTGGGTAGGAGAAGTCATTTGATGATTTCCCCCCCCCCCCCCCCCCCCAGAAAAGGGGTAGGTCAAACAAACTACTCGTACGTGGCGTTTTGCAGAAATTCAGTTCTGTCACTAAGGCCAACTAATGTTTTGCTAATAATTATAGTCATTAGGTCTACTGACGCCAAAACTAATTAGTTTTTAAGACGAATATGCACATATATTATCGTGATAATTGTGCTTAAATCGCTATACCAAAGTAAATTATTATACATTAGGTCAAAGGACATCATCCGAAAACAAGACATCCATTTCTTAAAATGAAATTTGAAATGTCAGGCAGCAGCACTCTCTGATAAGAGTGACCCTTTTAAACTGCCATTATAAACTGTAGGCCTACCATAACGTGTTAAAGCCTGAATCTTCCTGGCGAGGAAGGGGGATGGAGTTATACACCTTTTCTAGCACCATCCCTCTTTCTCTCCCGAAAAATTGACGCTTTAACACCCCGGGCCCTCTGTTTGAACTTTGTCTCCAGTTCAGTTACTTTTAAAACAAGATATGGACATCTAAAGAATGTAAATAACTTAAGTTGGCAAGAGTAAAGCCATTAAGAAAGTAATACACCAATAATTGTCCGATTAAAATTCTGCTACGTATGTGCCATAAATACTGGCTAAATGGCAGGGTTGTGCTTTTGGACAGTTGCCAGGTTGCCAGGCCGTGTCATATCATACCTAATTACTTAAGGAAGACGCAAAAAATGGTATGTCATTCCCGGTAGGTTATTAAAACACTTACTGGGGCTGTTTGTGGGGGAAAATCATCAAATGACTTCTGTCGCTTAGGGTCTGGCGAAACGGAGTGTCAGAGTCTTATTGACTAAACGCCCCCGTTCGTTCTCCTGCTTTAGGCCGAGACCGCGGTACCACATTGGGCTTACCCCGCAACCCCGGCTAAACATCAGCCCTATAGGGCCCCGTCTGTGGTGGTCTATTGGCTCTTTGAGTCGCGCGTGGAACGCTACGCGCCGTACGCTCGGGTCTGGTTCTGGTCGGGCAATGAGATACCCTTACTTGCCGTCCGCAGGTCCACGGAAAAAATCATCAAATGACTTCTGTTGCATAGGGTATGGCAAGAGAGAGTGTCAGACTCTTCCTGACTCTTACTGACTAAAAAGCCCGTTCCTTCTTCTAGGCCGAGGCAGCGGTGCTTTGTTGCGCTTGGCCCGCGACCCCGACTAACCTACTAGGGTTACAATTGTTATTCAGCTCGCATTAAAAAGAAACGTGATGTTTTGTAGCCTTCCTCGATAAATCGACTAGCCAACATTAGAAGATTTTTCAAAATCGAATTAGTATTTCTTGTGATAACCGCGTTTGAACTAACAAACTGTTCAACTTAGTAATATTTATTATGTAGATTATGTTGCCCTGACTTCAGTAACTCAATGAAAACAACAAAAGTGACTAACAAAATAGAACAAAATAGAACTCAATGAAAGAATATATTAATGTGGATGTGTTAGCAACGTTGAATAAAATGATATATTTTTCAGTAATTGGTATATTATAGTAAGACCTGTTTAAATTGATCTAGTGAAGTTTGAAGTGTTTATTTCATGTTTAGTCGCAGATAATTTATTTGGAACTCAATTCGGGTTTTCTGTAAGCCCACTGTCATGGACTACAACGCCGAAAGCATTGTTTTATGCCGATTTCCAGTGGCCAAGCCAAGCTTCGGCATGGATAGGTAATAATGGGCCGGTTCAACTCGCTCATAGCGATACCACGACCTC